TAGCCATCAAAGTTTGAAATAGCCAATTGTAATCGCCGATGTGATCGCAATGTCGCAGCCGCGAGTCGCTAGTGTGATACGAGCATTAGATTCTTCCAGCGATCGCCTCCTCGCTTGTCAATATACAATACATATTTACAAGTCGATCGATATCGATCGAGAGTACGTGCTTGAAAAGTCGAAGGTTAACATCTAGGACTGAAATTTATCTCAATGCAATTCAGTTATATTTACACCGATTCACGCTTTTATACATTTAATTTATACAGACGGCAAGTAATTTACGTTAAACGTATTCGCCGATACTTTTCAAGCGGCCTCGCGCTTTTATAAAGCAGAATAACTCCAATTCAACGGCGGACGTTATCGCGCTTTCTATGTTCTTGAAAGAAAAGTTCCCGTATACTGTTTCTACGCGCAGTGAGTGAGAGAGCTCGCTCGTTGCGTAAGTAAATGGCGATTCATGCGGCACTTGGAGCGACGGAAGAGAACGCTCGGATATGACTTGGCCGGAGCGGCCGCGCGCGCAATTATAGCTCAAGTCATCGCCTTGCCCCGCGCGCGCAGACATAATTGAAATATCTCGTAGCTAGTGGAATCATTCGACCTGACCTCAAACCGCAAACCCATGAAATTATTCGTGCGAGCGTTGCCGCGCGCGTTTTAATACATAAAGCTCGACCCACCATTGTCCCGCACGAGCGCGTATTCATTAAAACGCATTATCCCCCCTCCCACGCCCCCTCACGTTACTTCTTTTCCTCTCGATCGATGCCGGAGGAGCGATCCGAGTGTCGCGCCTCCGCCGATTTCAATAGGGCTTCTGTAGCAACGCGCGGCGCCGAGAGCTCGCGCAAATCGATATATATATAGCGTCATTGGAAAATACAGCGCGCGACGCATACGGCTTTGCAATCCTCTCGTTCTCCTCCTCCGTTTTTTTTGCTTCTTTCGTTTTTGCATTTTCGTCGCATGCGCGGATTCCGCCGGCGAACCGTGTCTCCTTGCTTTACGGGGCATGGCGCGGGACCCAAGCCGGGATCTACGAGGATTTCCGCGTCGCTTGCAACAATGTCGTAACAATGTCACGGGGTGCTACATAGACAAAGTATGCGGGGCCGGAATCCGAGATGTACGCGGATACCCGGGGTGACGACGCGAAACGATTGAATATCTTCCCTCCGGACCGCGGACGGGCGCGGGCTCCGTCTCGCTCTCGCGCCGCGATGCGCTCCGTGAAAGGAAAAGTTGGACGGACGAGAGGACGTTAATCGCCGCTCCCGTCCGTCTCCGCGCGCGTACAATGCTCCTCTTGAGACCCTCGGCCGCTCGCCGGCCGCTCGACCCCCGTGCGCATTAATACGCATCGCGTCGCGGCTTTCAGCGAGCGGCCGGGAGCTTTCGGAAAGGAAATGGAGAGATAGCTGCCCTCGCCAACCCTTTTTTCCCCCCGTTTCTGGCTGTGCTACGGGCTCTACGCCCCGGTCCGCGTGACGCCGCTCGTAACGCACGTGCACCTCCCCCGTCCGCATCTTGGATCGCGCACAAACGCACTCGGGAGTCCGTTTCCGCGCGCGCACGAGCGAGGCCGAGGCCCCGAAAGCTCGCCGGCTCCCCGCGAGTGCTTATTACACATTCAGACTCTTGGCCTGTGCGCCGCGGCAACGTCTGCACTTCAGCCCGCACGTTTCTCCTTCCGCCACCGGCGGGCCCGGAAAAATCTAATTGGCTCGACGTGCGACGGAAGCGTTATTTCTCCGCGCCGCACGTTTTTCCCTAGACTCGCGCCAGGATTTGGACTCGCGACGCCCGCGACAAAGAGAAGAAATCCGAGTCGAAATTTCGGTACTGTTTTGACACTTTTAGGGACAGTTTACACCTACTTAGCTGATCTATACACCTACATAGACCAGCGATAACCTACTTTGATGGCATTATATTTTTTATTCCCCCTTTGAATCTTTAATTCTAAAAATTTAGTTTAGCTCCTACTTAAAAGGATCTACTTTAATGCTAAATTGGCAAAAGTAGAAATTTTCAACACTGTCGGTTTTAAAGTAGGAGTCAATTTTGTACTTATTCGACATCTTTTACTATCTTAAGTCCTGCTATATAATAGAATTCAAGGTTCAACATAGGGCCAAAATTTCGACTCGGAAAAGCTATCATATTCCTAGTAGCACGGTGCATTGGCTAAACATCGGCTAAACAGTGGCCCAATGTCGGTTCCATTAGAGACGCATTGGCCGATATTGTTCAACGTAAAGCCAACATTGGCCGTGGAATAACTGGAGTAAATATTGCACAGTAATAATTATATAATATTAGATTTGTATTGTAAGTTCATTGGCCAATATTTAACAACGTAATAAGAATATTGGCCCAAATTGATACAATATTAGACCAATATTGCTGAATATTGGCTAAACAAGAGAAGGCGTCCATCTTGCAACATTGGACCAATACACGAAAGACCAGTTTCTGCTCGATAAAGTTTTCATTCATATAAGCACGTGACTCGCGCGTATTAATATTTTCCAAAGAGTTAATCGCGCGGACCAATTGATCGCGCGGGGCCGTGGGCGCGGAAATAAAGATGCTACGTTTAAGAAAATTCGCCCGTTGGAATTCTCTTGGAGCTTTCCTGTCTGCTTGCAGGCGGAGGAGCTGAACACCATCGTTGGCAATGCTTTCCGCATGGCGTACGTGGCGCAGCTTCAGCGCCAGCCGATCCTTCAGGATGTAATCTCACCGCGGTCGACGGCATCTTATCGCAAGGACAAGCAGGAGCATCGAACGTCGTGGGTACGTTTCAAACGACATCGGGACGGCGGATGTGGTTGAACAAACGAACGGGAAGACGCCAATTTCGCGGGGGCACGGACGACGAATTGTTACCGGCGCGTCTTAAAACTGGCACCGTGCAGTCTAAAGTGCTAACGAACTCATTTATTTTTGTCGCCGTCAGCCAGCGAGTTAGTTTGAGTTAAACTTCACAGGCCGGTATCGTGCCATCTGCTAGTTTTCTCACAAAAGCGCCGTAGATTGCAATTAAGTAGTTTTAGCAATTAGCGGACAGTTCCGCGAGAGAGAGAGAGAGAGATCTCAAAGATCACGCTTGTTGATTACGCCCGCCGTGTCGCGGGCCGTTTATTTCGCCGCGCGAAATAAATAGAGGCGCGTGGAAAGGAAGATCCACGGGATACTTCAATCCGAGGGGTAAATCGCTGACCAAAATCGTGACACCAATGCCTGCTAATGCCCCCTTGGGAAAAATATATAATACCTTAGGAAACCTAAGATTTTATTTTTGAAAAACCAGAAATACGGAAAGTAAATTTGGACACTTCAAACTTCTATTCAAGGTAAACTTAAAACTTCCTTTAAAAGGAAACTTTAAGAGAATTGTGAAAAGTATGTGATATAATTTATAATACCGTGTGCGATTTTCTTCTTACGAGAAAGCGCTGTGCCGCGCGGCCCTCTAGCGGAAACTTCGATAGGTTTGGCTATCTGACAATTACTTCAAGTGTCCAAAATTGCTCTAAAAATGCTTAAATAAACTTTTAACTTCTTTAAGTAAACTCTTAGATTTGAGAGATTACTTTTATGAACTTTAATTTCATTTCAAGTAAATTTTCCCAAGGGCCCAGTGGGCATTGCTTTATCTTATTATCTTATTTCATCTTTACAACGCTCTAACAAGGCTTAATGCCCAGTAATGCCGCAAATCTGTACACCACAATGCCCTCAGCGGTTTATCCCTCGGATACTTCAATCCGGATTGAAGTAGGGATAAATCGCTGACCAAAATCACACACACCAACGCCTATTAATGCCCAGTGGGCATTACTTAATCTTATTATCTTATGTTATCTTTCTTATCTTTTAGATTCTTTATAAGATTATCTTTTTATCCAGTCATGCTCTGTCAGTGCTCAAGCTAAGTTCACGTATAGCCCCAACACTGGCATAACATTTTTGGATTATAATGACTATCCTCTCAACACCACCATAATACATGTGATTCCATGTACACGACTACCACAGTTACGATCGCTTGAAAAGGACCAAAACCCATGGTCGAAACGTCGCGATACTAAACCTTTAAAATTGCCAGATATGGTCAACCAAATTTGATGTTGTTAATTTTTGCTGGCGACCCTGAAGAATTTCAGATCAGTTTCTAATCTTTTTATTTAGATTATCTTTTCAGATTCTTTGTAATACCCCAGCAAGGCCAAATAACACCCACTAATGCCCAAAAAATGCCTAGTTATGCCCGAAATCTACACGCCACAATGCCCTCAGCGGTTTATCCCTCGCTTGAACCGTTAGAATTGACAAAGAGCGTTACGATCCAATCCGCCGCGATCGTTGTAACTGTCCGTCTCAAAGGCTCCTTCCCCGCGAAAATGGTTTGTTCGTCCAAGTCGCGCGACGAAATTCCTTGTCCCTCGGCCGGAGACTACTGGGGCGTCTGCTGTACGCCAGGAAGCAGATAGCCGGTACCGCGCGTACCGGGATGCGGTCGCACACACGTGCGGCAGTAAGGCAGCGGCCGGAGCAGCTCTCGCGGAAGAGCCTCTTAAATATCCAAGACGCGCGAGACCACGACGACAACCGTGTCCTCCGCCGACGTAGTCTCACTGGGGCCACCGACTCCAGTAGGTGTCCCGTTTACAAGCCGCGTTAATTATAAATTCGACCCGAGTCTCTCGCTTACCGCCTCGCGCCGCGTCGCGTCGCGTTTCCAAGCAAACGGTCAGTCCGCCACGGCTCGCCCGATGGTCCCCGCCGCGAAATCGCCTTGGGAACCGCGCGATTCCGCCGATGAAACATTCAAGGAGGAGACCTGGATTCCGACTCCGGTTCTGCCTAATAAACGATTCGTCCGGGAGAGAGCCACGGATTTAAGGCAAATGATTGCGCGCTGAAGGGGCAACCCGGCGAGCTTGAGGAAATAATCGGAGGCCCTCTTTAAGTACACGCTGTCGCGACGGCGGGATATAATTTTGGCAATGACCGCCGTTTCGTTTGCAGAACAAATCGCCGGCCGCAGACGACACGATCGCCGCGGGCGCTTGCAGGAGTCCGTCGTCGAACTCGTGGCTGAAAAGTCGGACGTCGCCCACCACCAGGCCTGGAAGGGGTCCGTCCGCAGCGGATATGAACGTGCAGCTCGGCAGCGCCGGCTCGCCCACGCTGCGGCTCGCCGGCGTAAAGGTGATTTCACACGAGTGCAACAAACTTGGCCGTGCAAGCGGAACCGGCCGCTATTACATTATTCTCGGATGGCGTTAAGCGAATTAGCCCGGCTGGCAGCTTAGACTAAATTAACTTGGAGATCACAAGCGCGGCCGCGGGGACGCAGGCGTCCTGCATCTGCGAAAACGCGCCCCGAATAAACCAAGTGGTTTCGCGCGCATGACCTCGACGAATTCGAATGTTGTAGACGCCGAACACGATCCCGGGTCTACGGCCGTCGTTCACGAACGTCCTCGGGCCCATAACGAGCGTGAACGAGCCGAAGAGCATATCCCAGCAGAGCACGCCGAGCAGCGATGAGAGCAACTCGCCGACGGAGCTCAACTCGTACAAGAGGCTAACGGACAAGCCGCCGCTGATAAAGCGGCTGGCGATGGGTTTGACAGGTGGACGCGACGTTCTTGGGCTCAACGGCGAGGATGACAGCTGCCCGCTCGTCAGCGGTAGCAGCACGCCGACCAGCCCGTCGAACAGGCCCCATTCCGGGGGCTACATAAACGAGGCGATCATCGACTCGGAGGGCACCAGGCCGTCGTACAACAAGATCCCGCCGTCCGAGAGCCTCGACAACACCATCAACGCGTCCATCACCAACGCGAAGAACTTGAACATCGAGAACAACAGGTAAGTCCAGTCGGAGTTCAGTCTCTCCCGCCCCCTTCCTCGCGCCTTTCCGGAAACGCGCCGAGGGATCGGCGCGAATCGTGAACGACAGCTCTTTCATTTTCAGGATAGGGCACAATTGCCCGGACTCGGGCACGGAGGCGGAATTCAAGTCGAAAAGAAGATCGCAAATTAGCACGTCGAGCAGCTCGGTGCCCGCTGACGGAAGTACTCATGGCTCCACGCCAACCCCGCCGCCTTTACCCGAGAGAACAGACAGCCTGAATAATCGAAGCGAGGAGGCCGAGCTACGCAAGGCGCCCTGGTTTCAAGCTGGAATACCCAGGTTGGTCCCCGCGACATCGCTGCATGTCGGAGTAAAATATACACGCGCGCGCGCGCGCGCGCGTGCGGTGCCTTCTCGATGCGCCGAAATAGCACGTCGCCCCCGGCTAATTTTAAATATTCGTCGAGTGATCCAGTCCACAGAGTCCAGGCTTCCAGCGGCCGTGTCTCTGTGACTGGGACACGCAAATCCGATCGCGGCCGTTTCCCGGCAAGAAAAGACGTCCCCGCCCCATCAATCATTAATACGACGCGAACCGTGATTCCAGGGAGATAACGCTGGAGGTATTGAGCCAAGAGCCGGAAGGAGCGTTCATGGTGCGCGAGAGTACCAGCAAGCCCGGATGTTACGCCCTCTCCCTCCGTGTGCCCCGTGAATTCCAGCCGAGCGGAATAGCCCATTATCTCATAATGCGTACAAACAAAGGTTACAAAATCAAAGTAAGTCTCCCTTTCTGTCTTCGGCCGCCCTTTGCCGAGTATCGAGTATCAAGGTAGTCGCGAGCGGCGCGCGAGCGAGAGTCAAAGCGGATTCTCTCCCGCGCCTCTCCGGCGCACGGGAGTATCCGCGTCGCCGTTAAAGGGCCGTAAAATGGAAAACTAAAATATCCGCAAACTGCTCAGGGTTCCTCGCCGAGAGTAACAGCCGCCGATTTGTTTCAACGGATTCGCGCGAGGCTCGTCGGGGGGTCCGCGGTTTTGCGATGAAAAATTCAAATTTTACCGCCGGCATCTCGGCGGGAATGTAAATATATTTTATCTTAAATGGAGCGCGTCATTTAAACGCTTACGAAACGGATTCCGTTTGGTCACACACACACGCGCGCGCGAACTAAAATGCGAGGGCGAGTTGATGTCGATCTGCCGGCGAAACTAGCCGGCTCACCGCTAACATTTTGTTTACCGGATCTTCGCGTTCGCACAAAACTGGACGTCGGCTCTACCGAAGTAAAGCTCTTTTTAACGCTCGAAATAATACCCGCGCTAGAGAGAGAATCCTCTTACATGAGCGCAAGTTAATATTGAAATAAGCTCGCGCGGGATGCTAATGCGCGAAGGGTCGAAGGGCTTTTAGTAGCCCGGACATTATACTCGGAACTACCGCGCCCGGTGCCGAGCTAGCCGTGCATTTAGCCATTCGGATACGTGTATTTAAATGGTCGAACTTCCTCCCCCTCGTAGGATAGATTAAATGAGTTCGCGGACTTTGATAATCTCCGAAACCAGTATAAATGAGTTTTGTTGGATGTGCCGCGGATGCCGTGGGGAAATCAAAACTCCCGCTCTCTCTCTCTCTCTTTCCTGCGCCCTCGCCCTCGCCCTCGCAACGCGACTGCGGAATTGCATCGCGTTGTAACAAGCACGGCGCCTAGATTTGAATGAATGCCGGTGTGCGGATAGCCCTGATACGTGGCCCGTGTATGATACATTTAATATCAGCCTCGTTACGCGCCGTGTTTCGCAAACGCGACTGAAAATGCGAAGCAAAGATCACCCTCCGACCGACTGATATCGCATTTCATTGTCCCGGCAACGCGCGTTACAACGGTGCCGGGTATCGCGATAATGTGCATAATATTAAATGATACAACGTGCGCGCGATAACCGGAACAATAAGTTCCGGTTACGTTATTTATCGGGGGTGGCTTGTTCCGCTTGTCGTTTCGAACTGATCTCCGGGCCGCGCGACGGCGTCCCGTCCGGTTCGCGGATTACCTCGGGCTCCATTTTGAGACGACGTCTTCGTTTTTACACGCGCATTTTTACTCCAATAACTCTGTAGCGCGAATTTTTTTCCACCGGCGGAGCCGTTCTCGGCGTTTAGAAGCGACTAATATCGCATTTTATTGGCCCGGCAACGCGCGTTACAACGGTGCCGGGTATTCGCGATAACGCGCATAATATTAAATAATGCAACGATGCGCGCGATAACCGAAACAATAAGTTCCAGTTACGTTATTTATCGGGGCTTGTTTCCCCCCCCCCCCCTTTGTCGTTTCGAACAAATCTCTGAGCCGAGGGCATCTCGTTGGATCGCGAATTACCTCGGGCTCCGTCTCGAGACAATGTTTTCCTTTTTACACGCGCGTTTTTATTTCAATAACTTTGCAGCGGGATTTTTTCCACGGGCGGAGCCGCGTTTTAGAAGCGAAAGATTTTGCCGCTGCACACAAAACTACGTCTGTGGCGCGTTAAAGAAATCTGTTTTTTAAACGGGGAACTTGTAGTCAACCCAACTGGCATATTCCTTCGTTTAGCAACTACAAAAGGTTTCGACCCGATTTTTGGGTCCTTTTCAAGTTATACTAAGACAGCCATCTTAGTGTAACTTGAAAAGGACCCAAAAGTAGAGTCGAAACGTTGTATTTGCTAAATAAAGGAATATGCCACTTGGATCCTTTTCAAGTTCTACTCAGAGAGTCTTCTTAGTATAACTTGGAAAGGACCCAGAAATAGGGTCGAAACGTTGTACTTGCTAAGTAAAGGAATATGCCAGTTGGGTTGACTAAAAGTTCCCTATCTTAATTTTTCATCACCACTGGTGACTGTAACTTCTTTCTTCGTAAATCTGTTTTTATTCTTCCCACGGACGAGATGAAAACGTCCGTTTCGACAACGTTTACGGCCGCGAGCGAGAGCGGGGAGATGTTAGCGGGCGAGACAGAGCGATGGATAAACTGCGAATAAGCGTTAGACTTAATGCCGATGGCAGCGTACACGGTGAACGCTGCAAAATCAATAATGTATGCATGTTTCAGGGCTTCACGAAAGAGTTCACGACGCTCACCGCGCTAATCACTCACCATTCGGTCATGCCGGAATTATTGCCGTGCCCGCTGTCGCTGAGCCGATATAATCCGAGCTTCGTCAAGACCGACTCCAGCAAGGATTTCGCGGACATCGACTCGGACCCGGATTACAATACCCTGGCGGATTTTCGCAAAATGATGGCCGACCTGAATGTCTAGAAAACGATCGTCGAGAATCCCCTCCCTTTTCCCTACCCCGCGCTTTTTTTCTGCGATTTCTCGATTTCGCCGGTTGAAACCAGTTGGTACCGCGAGGCACATGTTCGGTATATTTGTACCTGGTTCGATTATTGTGCCATTTGCATTTGCACGTGTAAAGAGCCGACGTTAACTCGCGACCGTCGTCCGCGCGAACAGATCTCTCGGCACCGGCGCAACGCGCACGCTTGGACGACGCTTAAAGTTAACGTATCTATGTTCCGGAAAGACTCGCACAGCCACCAGTGATACATACTCGTAAGTCATTAATAACGGTAAGAAACGGTAGCGTAGATAATTTAATAACTCCTAGTGTTACACACGGACGCGTGGACTGGAATAGCGATGCGGGTGTTTTTTGTTTTGTTTTGTATCACAGCACGCGCGCGCCTAGCGAGACGTTAGTGTTAAGCTTGTTACGGCGGACGAGGTGGGACAATCGGCGTCTGTCGAATCTTCAATCGGAGTAAATTATTATGTCCGCGAAACGGGATGTACGTTCGAGCGATCGTTACGAGGTATTATATATTTTTTTTTCGCGGGTTAAACGGAAGTAAATCGAGTTTTGTTATCGTTTGGATCGCCCCCGACAGTTGCAACGATGCCAAACGATTCGTATGAATATATCCTTGTTATGAAACAATAGTCGTGCGATTGGAGAATTAAGGAAGATAAGTGGAGCGAATCAATTCGTCGCGGAAGGTTACGAAGTTAAAAAACGGTTTTCGAATAACTTTTAATTTATAATTAAACCGTCGGGTTGGAAGGACGTTAAAAATGCACGACGATTCTGAAGGAAACTGAAGGTGATACGCGGAAGATGTGTTCTCCGGGAGAAAAATCGATCACTTCCTTCCGGAGTTTCGTTACATTAAGATACTTTCCATCCAGTTCCTCCCCTCTTGCAGCTTCACGGCGTCTGAAAATAATCTAGTAATTTTTATTCGACTGAAGTTATTTAATATCTTTTTCTGTAAGAAGTACGGAAGCACGATGTAAAAATACACGGTGAAACGTTGCGCGCGTAATCAATTTTGGGGGGGGGGGGGCAAATTGTTCAGCCGCGACGATTTGAAGGTTTCTGATTGGTCGCGAGTGCGCATCCACGGGAATGTTACACCTGGTATTCTCGCATCGTGTACGGAAAGCCCGTATCAGACTACGAACCGAGGTTGGATTGAAATTTGACTAATCGGAGTAAAGTTTACTAATTTCAAGTTTAGCCACTTTTACCCTAATTGGCCAGATTTCAATCTGATCTCAATCTCAATCCGCAGCCTGATACGGGCCGAAGGAATATTGAGGATCGTGTTACCATCGTCACACATAACGTAAACTATATTGACCGCTCCGGAAACGTAAAGGCTATAATAGTGCAACCGCTTGGACTGGACTTGACAATTAATTGAAATGCTTGAATAAAGGTGAACGATACGAAAGGAGCGTCCACATATTCTGTACCTCGAAGAGAGTTTGAATCGCTTGGGAGCAAATTAAGATTTAACTGGTCCATTGTCGAGCCTGTACACGACGGAGTTGGATTCTTTATCATTTAATCGCATTCCCGATGGTATATCGCAATCCGATGCTATATCGAGGACCAAAAACGAAAATAACATTTATCGACATTTCGATGGAAAGAGAATTTGTTCCCGTTTAGTATTGACTGTTGAAAATGGAATAAATAATCTCGATTGCCACATGTTTCCCATTTAATATCTCGTATAAGATAAAGTAGGAAATGTGCAGATTTATTTCTCGTTCCACGGTAAATGGAATAGTACAAAATTATTGGCGGATATTCTATTATAATTTGGCGAAATCAAGAGAAACGAGATGGAGATGACGAAATGGGATACTCTTCGCTCTTGGTCCCCGATCGTAATATCGATGTACATGTGTTTATATGTATATATGTTATAATTATTCTCATTCGCGCATTATATTTCCACACGTATATTTAATTAGTAAACGTCAAAGAGGATTAGTAAACGGCATGGAATCTTGGAAATGTGATTACGCCTAAGAGAGGACACAGAACTTCCTCGAAATTTCGACTCGGCGAAACACGAATTACTGTAATAGGCGATAATTTAGTTTCTCAGCTATCCTAGTCTTGTACAGAAATTTCGTGCATAGCTGCGACGGTGAAATTCATACGATTATGCGTAGGTAACTATCGTATTTAAAAGGTTCTCGGCGGCGACCAGACACTGAATCGCGTGGCACTTTTTTATACACCGGAAAGCAATTACTTCGAGTATAACCACCACGTATTAACAACTTCTTGACTATATACGAGCTACTAAGACTACATCGAAATCTCTAAACTGCCAGCGTAACATTTCATCAAAATCGTTCATTACAGCCATCGCTCATTACGGAAGATAAAGATTGGATTCGCTACGATCTCGGTGATGAAATTTTGATGCTGTAGGGATATACGAGAATGTAAAAGCGACATACAGCGTACATTTTTGTAGCATCAAATATGAAATTTTCCAAAGTGATATAACGGTTTCGATTCCTCAGCGAACGGGACAAATGCGAATGCACCGATAACGTGTCGACAAGTTTCATATTGAGATTTATATCTATGTAACGCGTTGTGCTGGGAGAAAGCTCAGAATGATTGCGTATCATGCATTGAAATCGTATGTATGATATGTATAATAGATTTCTGCGAGTATGAATCGCTGAGACTTTCTTCTCCTACAACGTGTTCCTGCGTAAAGCTTGAACGACAACGCGAATTGCTAAGTTATTGTAATAACGAAACGAGGGGTCTCATAAAAATATGTCTATATCTGCAGAATATCATAATTAAATCCACCACAAATCGTTTTTTAAGATCACGCCTGCAATTGCGTAAAGACAGATGATGTGTCTTGTATCATTAATTTCATGCACACGCGCGATCTAATCTGTCGCGCGGAAATTACAAAATAGCGTCTTTGGAAGTTAAAAAACGAAGAAGACCGTTTGTACCACGAAATCGATCAATGCGTGCTAAGATAATCGCGCAAGAAACGCAGCATAATTAACTGTTGTAATGTACGCTACGCATGACCATTAATCATTGCTTGAGGTTTGTAATGTTTTACGAATTTATTATCGCGATGCGTTGTATAATGTCAAGAGAAATTATTTATTACAATAAATATAATACAAAGAGTACTCGCCGATCACGTAACATCCTGTACAAATCTGACAAGCACGAAGATCGATAATTCATGATAACCAACGACTTGGTGAAGAAAGGCTGAAATGTGATCTCGCGTACAATCGCGTCGGATAAACGAGGGCGTGCTGCTTCAGCTCTCTTGACCCACAACGTTCTTTTGCCTTTCCGACACGTACGGTACTGCCCCCTTCTTGGAATGATAACGCCTATTGGCCTCCCTGCGAGATAAAACATTTTAATAGATATCGTTGAAAAGTTGTATTGAAGATCCACGAGTGTTGCGATTTAGCTGTACTTACTTGCGTCTACCCTTCTCGCGGATCGTCCGTATCTCGGCTCGCGCGTTGTATATGTGTTTCGGCACTTGTCGGTGACGTGCGATCCGTCGGACTTCCGGGTGCGCCGCGTACTTCTCTTTCAAGGCATCATTGGCGAGCAGCGCATTTCTTTCTCTGGCTCTCAGCTGTTGCGAGCGGGAACAGGGAGACAGTTATCGATCATCATTTATGCTAAAGCACGCAATGTAAAATTGACGAGATCGCAATGTTGACGCTTACAATGCCCAATTTTTCCGACGCTTTAGCCTTCCATACGCGGAGATTCATCTCGTCGCTGCCGCTAATCACGTATTTGTTATCGAGCGACCATCCCACGCAGGTGAGCCTGTGCATGCGTCGCGTGTGGTACACCTCTCGCGAGTGGCCTTTATTCACCTCGAAAATGCGGATCGACTTGTCGTAGCTGCCCGAGACGAACTCTCTCCCCGTCGGCGAATAATCCACGTCTATCACGGCCTCCACGTGATCCATGTGCACGTTGACTGGCGTCTTGAACTTGCGTATATCATATGTGTACAAGCTGAAACAAACGGATTTACGATTCGCGGGAAATTTGCGTAATCTCGCGATAAGCCTTTCTCGCATCCTCCATTATATCTCACTTGTAATCTTCATTGGCGCAAGTAAAGACGAAAGCCTCCATGGGATTCCAAGAGAGCTTGTTGCTCCGTAATCTCATCACTATCTTTGTTAAAGGTCCCGTCTCTCTGGTGTCGTACAAAATTATGCTGCGATCGCTGACGCACGAGGCTGCAAGTTAAATCTGAGGTAAGATACTTTGATATAAAGCGCAGACGTTTAACTTGAGATGTTGCCGACATTTCACGCGGAAGAAATTCAATTAAAAATCTAGCACTCCCGTCGTGTGTCGTACCTAAAAGATCTGTCTGTACAGGATTGAATTTGGTATCAATTAGACTATCCACGCCCCATTTAAACGAGCGCAGCGGCTCGTTGCGAGTATCCTCCCACATCTGACATATTCCTTCCCCGCAGGTAACAAACACAGGTTTGGTCCGATGGTGGGACACACCGGTTAGCACCGTCTGTCGGAAATGCAAGAAATCGCTTGAAAAAAATCTCACGTTTGGCGAGTCTTAAGGTGAACCATAAGCAGACGCGTACTTTGCTGGCGATAGTATTCACGGGCTCGTCCTCTCCGCCGGCGGACTCAGCGTCCCAGGTCTTGATCGTCTTGTCGTCGCCGACCGTGATGAAGCGCTTGCCGTCCGGCGCGTACGCGATGCCGCGAACGATGCCGTCGTGTGCGAGAAGCGCGCGCGTGCACGCGCCCTGGCTGAGGCTCCAGGCTCTCACCTCGCCGTCGTAGGCGCCGCTCAGGAGGGTCGACAGCTGCGAGGGGTGTTTACACATGCAGGACACCGCGTCCTTGTGGCCCTCCAGGCTGCCCAGAAACGGCTTCGCGAACACCCTCTCCAGTTTAACGGCGTTGAGCGCCTTCGTGTACTCTCTGGGCGCCTGGAAGGGATGCAAGGCGGGATCGAAGTTTCGCGGGACTGCAAAAACGGCATCCGATCATTGCCTCGTCGCGTCGCTCGCTGCAATCAGGTTAGGAATCGGCGCGACTCGCACAGACTTACTTTTGTGAATGTCCCGCTTGGTCTCCCGCAGGTACTCGTCAGGATTCCTGCTTAGCACTTTAACCTTCATTCTCGAGGCAAGACCACGCGTGCTTTTCTACCGAAGAATAATACATAAAAGTTGTCTTCCCGATTCCCTCCCACGTGTTCGCCGGAGATAAACAGAAACTGTGGGTGGAGTAGAGACAGCTAGACCGCACTACCGCAGAGCGCCGGAGACAAGTGCGCCCTCTGAGAAAGTAGACGTCAACTATGTCCATCGCGCTCGGTAACGGTGTGCGCGTACGTACCGAGCGTAGGTGACGTCTAACTTTGTCAGGGGCGCGTTTGTCTCTAAAGCTTGAATGAATAAACTGCCTACAGATCATTATTGCATGTCGAAGTATCTGGAAGACATTTTAAAATTCTACAGACGTTTTATGAATTTGTCAGAAAAACGTCTGCGCGGTTTTCAGAAGTTTTATTTGCGATACTTTTAGGACGTTCTAGAAAAGCGTAAAATTTTACTTTAGAAAAATGAGAAGTACAAAAGTAAAGGAGGGCATAACTTTTAATCGGGTTTCGTTACCGCTCGGAGATCGTTTTATTTCTATGTTTCCTTGTGTATGTTTCTTCGTAGAAACCGAAAAATGTCATAATAACGCCAGACTTAAGGAAAAATTGGTACATTGAGATAAAAGGAATAAAATTCTTATTCGCCTCGTTGTCAAATTGCCATCAGCTATGCTTCAATAATTACAATTTAAAAATGAATTCAAAGACGGAACAAATGCGATCGCAAAACGTTAGTTAAATTGTATTTTTCACTGTAATATTTGTCACAAAATATTTAATAACGTTACGCATATAAGAAACATGAAAACTTGAAGTTACGACAATATAATATATTAATTATATGACGAGATACCCTCCTTCTTATTATTCGAACTTGGGACTGACAGTGGTGAAGTTACATCTCCTATTTACATATATACATATATATTTATACTTACGCACGCGTACAATACATATACAATTTTTCTTTACTTTTGTCCGCAAAGTCACTATCTCTCCAATCGGTATTCCGGCTGGAAAATTAAGGTAAATTTTCCCAATGGATGACTTCGACTAAATTGTTATTAACTTAATTAGCGATTAATTTGAACGACAGAGTTGCATAAAGCAAAATTTCTGACTGTATAATACACTGTCCTAATCTAATCTTTTTTTCATACATTAAAAGTTAATAATTTTATCGGCCTTCACAAAATAATACAAGCGTTACTTGATAAGTTAATCACCGATCTAATTAAAAGTTTAATCAAAGAAGATCATTTATTTGTAAAAAGTTACCTTTAGAATCGTGTCAATTTCGGCCAATAATGCATATACATATTTGTATATGTAATAAACGAAGACTAAATATTTTTTAATAAATCAATCTTAATACACATGCATATAATTTTGAAACTAACAAGTCGATACATTTGTGGAAAATTGCACATTATTATATAAATTACTAATTTTATTTTTATTAATGAGCAATTGGCAAAAAATTTTATTGTTATTTTACTAATCACTACTGTTTTTAGGTAACAGATATATATTTTTTTTTGCGGAATATATAATATCTTGAAACTCTTCACTTAACACGTGTATCCCTTCACGTATTTTTAAATATCTAATTGTAAGTAGAATTTGATCGAACTGATGACGACTATATTGTAATCGTTGCACCAATCAATATGATATATTAGATAGGAAAGGCGTGGGAGAATATGATATCACGTTCTAGGTAAGTTCGGTATCATATGTAAAGAGTAAAAAAAGGGAGATAGAGAGACGAGCGACACATTTTGGCAAATAAGATTACGCGAGTGATAAGATTACACGAGCTTTTAACTCAACTTACAGGTGCGATAAGCACCATCTCGTATTGAGGCTTCAACCGTGCCGAATCGATTTCCATTATGCCAGGTGAGCAAAAAAGTTTCCCTAAAGCACTTTCAAATGGATATTAAAAGAATATTAAACCTTGCTGTATTTGCATCGTTAATTTTCTACTTCCTTATGTAACAAACTTCTCCGATTTCTTATCGATATTTGCCAAATCGTGGACACTTAACCGAGTACAATTATTTCGTATATTTTTATCTTCTCAATATCAAAAATAAATTCGAAGGAGCTAAATTTTAAGAATCGAATTACGATTCTATCGCGATCAAGATAATTTAAATCACAATAGAATATTTCCTATTAAAAATTAATCTTCCAGAATCCAAATAATCTCTTAGAAAACAATATAATCTGAAAGTTCAGTTTAATGACAGTATAAAATTATTTTTTATTTTTTACAAGTATAGTATAAAATAATTTTTTTCTATTTTTTATTTTTTACAAGTATGGTTTCAAGATCGTGATTCAGTGGCACACTACGTGAATATGTTTACGTGTAATGTTTGCGTTGTATTATATATTAAAAAAATTATTGTAACAGCTACATTAATAATTCTGTAAAAGTAACCGAATATAAATTACACTTTCATCAGAAACACACGGAAACTCACCATTAAGTATAGTTACTTTATTTTGGAAGTATACGTGAGTTATGTAGATTATAAAGATAATGTGTGACATGTGAAATTATCGAGCACAAGAACCGTCTGGAAATTTTTATCGTATTGATTACGTGTCGGTATCGGTGCGTTTTCCTATTACGTAACACGTATAGCCGTCATAATGTAACAGTTATTTATAGATATGTCTGTAAGATTGTGCGAAATAAGATTTGTACCGTTCAGTTCAATTGAAGCGTTTATTATCAGACTGCATTAAAATTGACGGGTATCGATAGATTGATAAATTAACAAAATTAAGATTAATAATTTTCTTGAATATCTGAAGTTTAAGGAAAATATTACTGGAGAGATTTGCAAATGTTCTACATTTTATCTCACCTTAATAAATGTCCCATCGGGAGAACCGAATATCTTATTAGATATTAAAGTAATACGAGTTCATCTACCGAACAAAATCGAAGTGGAAATGGATACGAAATTGTAAATTCACTCAATAAATCGATCTTGCTGACAGTTTATCATTGCTACAGCCTACAGATGGGTAAACCGTGTCAGCGGTCAGTCGATGCCAGAAAATGCGGTCATCGGCGGTCGTGACTCTGACGGAACCACACTTTACGTCGGTAGAGCCTTCCACGATGGCGACATGATTCCGGCGAAAGTGATTCCTGAAAAAAATGTCGCCTACGTTTGTCACAACGGCGAGGAGCATCCCAAAGACAATTACGAGGTGAGCAATGCAAGGCCGGATGAACGTTTTTCTACCTTACGAGAAACGAGATCAGCCACGAGCAAAGCTTCGCATCGCTTTATTGTTCTGCGAAAAAAACTCACAAAATCGCATAAACTCTTGTAGAGCACAGTTTTTAGCCACGATTTTAGCGCACAAAAATTATGACTGTCGAGATTAACGATCGGCCTTGACCATAATTTCTTCACAGAAGTGATCGTCGTCGATTTGCACGATGATGTTGACCGAATAAAAATTTCTATGAATTGACTTGAACTCGCCGAAAGAGCAATGATTTCTATTAATTTCGTAACAGCGATTGAAAGGCAGTTATGTCACTTTTTGCAACTTACGTAACGCGCCGTAGGCAAAGTACAAGACTTACTAAAAATTAATCGTATCGATTGTATTAGAATCGAGATAATCTCGAGATACCGAGTCTTCTTTCGGAAGTAGCTATTGAACTGATGTAGATATCGTTCGATATGGGCGGCTCACTAATTCGCACGAGAGATTATTATTATAACGATATTTCGCTATCTGGCGATCTTCGTTGCTGAAATAATAACGATAACAACGAATACTGAAATTAATTGTCGATGATAGTTTTAAGCAGGGTTGGGAAAGTTACTTTATAAAAGTATCTAGTTACAGTTACAGTTTTTTCGCTAAAAATGCAACTAGTTACCAATTCTGAAAAGTAACGCGTTACAGTTACTCAAAAAGTAACGAATCGTTACTTTGCAGTTACTTCCTTTCAATGAAAATAAAAATATCAAATCTGCATGTAAATTGTTAAGTGTCAATAAAGGCGTATATGCGCGTGTGCAAAGCCTAATGCGATCTGTGGAGGTTGAAAAAATATATAAAGCTATTGATGTAACTATTAAATTAGTTACTGCACAGTTGGAAAATTTGTGCTTTCTCGTTAAGGAAAATGCCGGTTAAAATTTTTGTGTTAAATGTTTAACGCATTCATGTGTTAATTTAACATATTGCTCTTGTATTAATTGACCTCAAATGTAAAATTATTAAAATACTCGAAAAGAAATGTTGAAACAACACAATGTGCACTTTCCTTAACAAGAATTTGAATTCATTTGAGACTTATTACATCTGTAAAATGTAAAACTTACATTTTTAAAATTCATTTTGTCATTAAAAATATGTCAATTTTACACAGAATTTATTTCAAATTATTTTGGGATTTGCATTTATTTTGTGTTAAAATATTAGCAGACTATTAGTGTGATCATTCAACATACCCATATCATATCAAATTAACACAAAAATTTGTGTGGACCGTTTGAGGCATGTGATATCTGTTAAATTTAACACAAATTTTTCAACTGTGTAGTTATTGAAAAAATGTAACTGAGTTAAATTACAGACGGAGAGAAAGCGACGAAGTTAAGTTACAGTTACTGAAAAAAAGTAACTGTAACTGTAACTTCGTTACAAGTAACGAGTTACCTTCCAACCTTAGTTATAAGTGATTAATTGTCACACCGTGCAACGGTATCAATAATATTACGATGTTATCAGGTCCTCTGCAAAGGGGAATTCGCATGGGAGTTCTGCAGCAACGGTGAGGTACCAGCGGATGCGATAATCGCCGGTCAAACCGCGGACGGAGAACCTCTGTACGTTGGCCGTGTCCTCCATAGTGGAGCTCAAACGATTGGCAAGGTCGGTCTTTTCGGCAGCTGCTAATCGCACGGCAGTAATGATAAGCATTCGGAAGATATACGGAATCACGTCTCGATATTCGAAGCACGCCGCTGCCAAAGTGTTCTTCGCCCTTGGCGAGCGAAACTCGTATGCTTTTTATTCCGCGCGGCCTTTCTTTCTGGGGCAGGAGAGAGACATAGAATTCAGCAGTTAAAGAAATATATGCATATTGTATATTTAAAAAAATATATATATTTCTTTAGGTACAACCGAGTCACGGATGCCTGTACATTCCGTTCGACGGCGAGGAGCTGTCGTTCAAGGATTACGAAGTACTCGTCATGCATTAACTCTATTGCGGATGCCCGAGGATTGAAGATGTAATACGCATTTTATATACACGACCGTGCTTAATTGAGCCAGGCAACACAAGCTCCAAACAAGCCGCTTAAGCTAGAACTGAATGGAAAGTTATTGAACAAAATGCTCCGTTTTCTAAACATTTGTAAAAATTCACTGAAATAAAACAAAAAGAAAAAACGAATCTCCGGCAATCATTTTTAATTATGTCTAACGAGCAATAGCGAATTCGTATCGAGGCTGAGCAAATCGTATCGCTTATTTATCTTAACGGTGTAACATCGTTACATATATTAAATATTTAATACGCGAATAATCACTTGCTGCGGCAAGTGATACTGAAATTGTATGAATAAAAAGTGTCGTTATTTTCTCTTTCCGTATCTCCTGAGTGCTCCGTTTAAATACGTCTTTCTGCTATATTCTATCGATATAGAATGTGCTTAACAATTTAAATCACGAATACGAAGTAATAAAGGTTATAAGAGCCACGACAAGATGTTACCGTCCAAATGATTTTAACGTTTTAATTTATGGCGAAAAATTTACCCCCTCTCACACTAGGCGGGCGTCTCACCAATTCGACCACCGAGGGCATGTGGTAATATTTATCGCAATAAACAGTCTAAAGTTACTTCACCAAATTTCAAATACCCATTTCTTGTTTATTAAACTTCTGAACTGAGTGTTTCAAGTATGAAAATGTTCTGCTACACGCGGTCCGCAACTTATCCCGGTATTATTTTGTGCATAAAAGCGCCAATAAGGAAGAATTACAAGCGCGGAAGCTGTATTTGACTGCGTCGGTAAAAAAGGTGGCTGAGGGATCCTCTTGGAAGATAAAAATATATAATAACACACGGTATATCGACGAGGAGAATAATCTATTTAAATTGCCACGAATGAGCGGCGAAATAGAAATTATCGGCAAGGCAAACGAGCTGCGAAAATTAATAATACATCGGTGACCTAAAAGTGCAATCGTATCGCTCCGATGAGAACGCGCAGCGGGAGAAATCGTTTCTGCCCGCTAAATTCGATAGCTGCCAGGGGGGGGGGGAGGAAAAAAATCGAAAGTTGCTTTACGCGCTCCGGACGCGGAGAATCGAAATCATTAACCTGGGCTCCATGGCTATAACCAATTGGAAATCCACGATCCTCGAGCGAACGGCTCAGCGGAGCGGGAACGCAACGCGATAAAATACCTTTGTCGGCCGCGGTAATTACTGCTGCCAATGGACGATTAACCGCGATTAGCAGGCACTTTTGTCAAACGTGGCGAACCACGACCACGGTTGGTCACCGCGAAAGAATCGTGCCTCTCGCCCGCCGCAGGCACGGCCGCCATGATGACCGACGAGGATGGCTCTTGAGTAATGACGACCACAGACGCACCCTCGTCGGTCGGATATCAAGACAGAGGGAGAGAGGGAGGGGGGAGGGGGGAGAGAAAGAGAGAGAGAGAGGCAGAGGTGCCGGTGACAGCTCTGCATCGAATATTTTATAAGCACATCGCTGTGGAATTGCGAGCATTACTCACTTGACGGCATCATACGTCAGACTTAAGAGCCAGGGCCGCCTCTAGATGTCTTTCGTCGCTCGGGCGCGACCTTGCGGGTTTCGATTTCGCGGTACCGGCCCCGGAGGATCTCGCGCGAGGACGCGATTCGAGAGGCGTCTCCACGAGGTCGGTCGAAGGACCGCGAGCGTGGTGCTCATCCGCGCGTACGAGGGCGACGTGCGAAACGGGCGCGAGGGGGATTGGACGTCGACGGCGACGGCGTGCGGAAGACACGCAAAAATCCGCGTGCCGCGGCCTGCGGCGAGAAATCGCCCCGATGGTGCGAGCGAGCGAGCGCGGCCGCTCGGCCGGCTCGGCACTCGAGCCGCGCGAATAGCTTTGAATTCACCGTCGCAGATAATGGCACTTGGACGGCCCTGTCTAAAATAGGCTCCGACTGTAGAACGCTGGGACCGTGCGTAGTAGTGATTACTTTATCAACGAATTGTCACATTTAACAGCGCCTCGTCGAGTTACGCGCGGCAGCGATTCGACGACGCTGCCTGTTTACGCTCAGTTGCCATCCGTTCGACATCGCCGACATCGGAGACGCGGCACGCCGGGCCAGCTCTTTTATTTCCGCTTCAGCCGAACCGAGCGCACCCCCTCGCGCATTTCTTCCCGCCGTGCCCTCGCCGAAAAGTTACGCGCGGGGCAGGTCGAAAATGATCTTTACGCGGCTGCTCGGAATCACCCTCCCGTCGCTCTCGGCAGAAGAGGAAACGCATTCGGGGAACACGTCCGGCTGGCACTAGCCACCCCCGTCTGATGCAACGGGGAAGAAATTTCGCGACGAGAGGAGGAACGTGTCAAGGACGAGCGAAGGCCGCGCGATCGATCGCGCTCCGGATGGATCATCCACCGCTCGGTGAAAGAAGCTTACGAAACGGAGATCGCACGAGGTAATCGCACCGTTTCGCGAGCAGCCTCTCGTTGACGTCACCCGCAGGGACCGCGAGGACGTCGCACCGTGGGAAATTCGCGCGTCGGTGAACTTGGGGGAATCTCTCGACGGCTCCTTCCGCGGCCTTCGACGCGCAGCGACGCGCAGTTGGCGGGTCACCGAGGGAATCTGGACCTCGTTCACGCAGAAGGAACGATGTATCGTCGAATCGTGAGGTACATGAAGCCGAAAAAGATCGTGATTCGCCGACGCAAGAACAAGTACTCCCTGGGTAGGAAGATGAACACGATAATCATGACGCGCCGCTCGTTCATCAACATGTCGCTGTTGAGACTGCTGGATTAGACTCTACGCTACGCGGAGAGATTCGGCGGCACACGTTATGCTCGATCGCGGAAGACGCCCGCGTGCCAAGGTGACGACCATGCTTTTCGCGCGCCGAGAGAGGAAAACGTCGAGCGGGACGAGCGGAGCGATCGTCGAGGAAGACTAGGGGATCCAGAGGTGCCTCGGGCTGTCGGGGGCTGACCTTGACCCGAAAACCCGCGCGGGGCGGAATCGGAAGCGACTCGCGGAGCGCTCGGCGTAATCGGCGCGCTCGTGGAGCATTAGCCGCGTGTCGTACCCCGCGGAGGAGCCGATTAAGCGCGAACGTCGGCGACGTTGCCCCGTGGGGCCACCGCGTGTGCTTAGTGCCTGGGTGGATGTACACGAAGGCGGACCAACTCGCCGCGCGCTGCAGGAGGCCGATAGGAAAGAGCGAGCGAGCGAGCGGTGACAGCACGGCCCGGGGAAGAGGTGGTACGGGGCACGCTGGTGTGCTGGCGGTGACCGGCGAAGGAAGGAGACAGACAACGCCGCCGCGTCTCGTGATGCACGATGGTGCATTAGCCGAGAGCCCGTGCGGGACCACCGTGCGATTTCCGACCTGAGCCGCGCGAGACCCGGCCGCCCCCCTCGAGGGGCCCTCGCGAATCCGTTCCTCGCACTCGGCTGCCCAGGGCAGCTTGATGATCTTGAGCCGCGCGTACGCCCGGACGATTGAAAGAGAGTCTGCTCCCCGTTCCCCGTGAGAGAGAAGTCAGCCCGCCCCCGTTTCTCACCCCGCGCGTGAAATATGTCCGAGATCACGAGCACGATCGGCACGCCCGGGGGGCTCGCACCGGAGAAGAAGGCGATCCCCGTGACCGAGAAGCCCGACAGCGCCGTCACTTGGAAGTCCATGAGCATCCGGCAGAAATGGTCCTTCCTCACCAGCAACATCACCATCGAGCCGATGGTCGCGTGCTACGTCATCCCCAGCGTGCTCTGCCAGCTGGCCACGCAGAATCTCATCCTCGAGAAGGCGTGCAGGGTGAACCTGGCCTACTCGGACGAGGTCTGCTCGGCCCTGTCCGCCAGGAACACCACCGGCTACGAGGCCGAGGAGACCGCGGTTCAGCAGATGGTGGCGCGTATGCAGACCTGGAAAACCCCCCTGCAGAGCGCCCTGCCGACCCTCCTGATCCTCTTCATGGGCGCGTGGAGCGATCGCTCCGGTCTGAGGAAGCCCTGCATGCTGCTGCCGATCATCGGCGAGTTCTTCAGCAGCATCACCCTCATCGCCTGCACCTACTGGTTCAACGAGCTGCCCATGGAGGTGGTCGTGCTGGAAGCGGTCTGGCCCGCGCTAACCGGCGGCTGGTTCACCATGTTCATGGGTATCTTCAGCTACATAGCGGACATCACCACCGTGGAGTCGAGAACGCTCAGGATCGGCGCGGCCAACGTCTTCGTGTCCCTGGGCGTGCCGATCGGCATGGCCCTGTCGGGGATACTGTATACGAAGTTAGGTTTCTACGGTGTCTTCAGCATCGCGATGGTGTGTTACGTACTGAGCTTTGTGTACGGCCTAGTGGTGATCAAGGAGGTACCGAGGGGGCTCGCGGAGCGCTCGCGGAAAAAGTCCCTTCCGACCGAGAGGAAACGGACCTCGCTGTGCGCCTTTGTTCTCGACTTCTTTTCCTTGAAGCATATCGAGGAGACATTTCGCGTGGCGTTCAAGAAAGGGGCGAACAATCGCCAGAAAAGGGTCGTCGTGCTCATGGTCATTGTTATGGTCGTCATCGGACCCCTTTACGGTGAGTAAAGCCCCCCCCCCCCCCCGAGTGCATTGAGATTCTTTGAACAAATATTTTCCCATCTCGAGTGCCAAGCTTGCTCGACGGTTGCACGTGACGCGTCTCACCCTCGCTTACCATAATGGCCGATACCCTGTACTCTGCGAGAATCAATTTTTGCCGTTAGATCGATTCTCGGCGATCTGTAATTCACATCGAAATCCAGCAGACATCCCCATTTGTAATTTTGTCGCGATGCGAGAAGAGTTTCGAGAATGATCACTGTCGCGAGATCGTATTCCTAGTAGCACAGTGCATTGACTAAACGTTGGCCCAATGCAACTAAATATTGGGCCAATGCCCGAGTCGAAATTTTGGTGCTATTTTGACACTTTGAAGGATAATTTACATCTACATAGATCAGCAATAACCTACCTTGATGACATTATATTTTTTGCTCCTCCCTCGAATTTTTAATTCCAAAGATTTACTGTAGCTCCTACTTGAAAGGAGCTACTTTAACACAAAAGTAGGAATTTCCAACACTATCAGTTTTAAAGTAGGAGTACATTTTGTACCTGCAGTTCGACCTCCTTTACTGTCTTCGGTCCTACTATACAATAGAATTAAAGGTTCAACCAGGGTTGGCAAGGAACTCGTTACTTGTAACGAAGTTACAGTTACAGTTACATTTTTTTTTGGTAACTCTAATTTAACTTCGTTACTTTCTCCCCATATGTAACTGTAACTTAACTCGGTTACATTTTTTCGATAACCAGTAACTAATTCAATAGTTACGTTAATAGTTACTTTATATATTTTTTAAACCTCCGCAGATCGCATTAGGTCTATGCATTTGCACATAAACGCTTCTATCGACACTTTATAATTCAAACGCAGATTTGATATTTTTATTTTCACTGCAAGATAGTAACTGCAAAGTAACAATTCGTTACTTTTTGAGTAACTGTAACTATATACTTTTATAAAGTAACTTTCCCAACCCTGGGTTCAGCATAGGGCTAAAATTTCGACTCGGGTGTTTGGTCAATGCACTCTGTGCTACTTGGGATTTCCATCTTGAATTAATGCTCTTATAATTTCCCTGAATTACAGTCTAAAATGGACCTTATTGTGAAATGCTTACTGTGTAATTCGATATGCTACCGTCGTTGCGATCAAAATAGGCCACTATAATTCAGACACATTATTTATATTGAATTTTCTCTCGTTAATAATTAAATTTACAAACTATTAATCCAAAGAGTAGAGACGGCTCCCAATAAACAAATTTGGTCGAGGGAAGAGGGTCAATGCGAGCCAAGCGTTTGGCCAAATTTCAAATTATTGTACCCAATTTTTAGACAAGACAGTGCAAACTAAATTGACAACTAAGTGAATTTACTTCAGCTGCGAGCACGTAAACAATAATTTGGTAAAGCAGTCCAGCATTATTGTCATTGTTGCATAACTTGATTCGGAACTAAAATTATATGCGTCCACATGGCAATAAATATTCATGCGAACGTACGCTGTCGTTCTTGTATTGGACCGCGCGTAAGCAGAAATCATTGTCATTCGTATGCTCGCATAATGCAAATAGTTCACGCTCATGAGACGTATAAAAAATCAAATATGCAAACAATTTAATTCGCGCGGAAATACGAAACAAAAAATGGGGGAAACCGGCGCGCAGGAGAACAGTTGAAAAATAAAATTCATCCATCATTTCTCACGCGCGTCCGTGGCACGATAAAAACCGACTGTAATTCTCGTTAATCTTGCTACCCGCGTTGCGGTAACTGTGCGCATTCCCATCGGTAATTACTTACGTCCGACGGTGTGAATATATATCGTATGCCAGGGGAAAGTAAGAGAAGATATAGCAATACTCGGCGCACATTGTACGCGCAGCGCTACTTGCTCGCCGCTCGAGAGGTATATCCGAATAATTCGCGTATCTTAAAACGCCAATAAAATATCCAGCCGCAATGGTATTTTCTGCACCAGAAATCCTTGATATCGATAATCTTCGACGGTGCTGGACGCTGTAAATCACGTTTTACAGGGATCGTAAGATCGACAGACGACACGGAAAGAAAAATGTAGCTGCAGTGACTAAAACAAATTTCAGTTGTAGAATATGAACGGCTAATATTTAGTTGTGATAGCTGCAAATACTTTGCTACTGTGCCCATTGTATTAGGCGCGACAGCGAACCGTTCGCTGTGCTTTAGAGGATTTATAGTTCTTCTTCTTCCTCGTGTATTAGGCTTCAAGCCTGTTTTATCCAGTTCTCGTTCTGGTACTTTGAGCACTTGGGTTTACTTCATCTTTGGCAGGCTGCTAATCTTGCCGAAAGAAACCTCCCATCTGGAGGCAAGATACTCTCGGTGGTTGCCACTTCCCTTCGGGAGATTCCGAAAAAAATCCAGCGGTGTCCGTGGATTTGAAAACTCGGATCTTTTCGTTCATTTGTTTACTAAGCAGCGCGCGTTTCTCTGCGCCACACTCGCCACCGAAATTTATAGCCACGGCAACAAAATATTTTTAGCAAACCACGATTAGCTACGGTAGCGAAAAATTTGTTTAACGGAGACGACGGACATTCGTCACGTCCATGAAGGCCCGTGTCCACGATGCTATTGGTCCAAGTTCTAATTCCCAGAAATGTGTAGCCAGTCAACTTGCAGTTATTCTATAAAAGCTGCAAGCTGATTGGCTACACATTTCTCAAAACTGGAACTCAGAACTGGAACAGGCCTTTAGCCTCGACGCGGCACTATAGCTTTTCCGAGGGCCTCGCGCAGTTTCCGGGCGGGATCCATTTTCGCAGCTTTCTCCGACGAAACGCACGAGCCCCGCGGCACGCCAAGTGCTCGTAAATAAAAGGTTACGATACATCGATGCGGACAGCGAGCGCTTAATACCAGCGTGCAGCGGCTCAGTGCGCCGGACGGTATCGGCAACAATAAAGCCTCCCAGTTTCTGCCAGTAGCCCGTGCAAGCACGCGACCACACGAATCATTCAATTTTTCAATTAGCGTGCATTTGTTACAGCGCGCTATCGCGACTTTAATGCGATCGTGCGCGCTCGTACGGCGACGACGCACAATTCCAGCACATTTCGCGGATGTCCTTGTCACAATTTAATTATATAGGTAGCCCCGTCGTTACAATGTCTGGGTACGCATTAGCACGTATTACCCCAGCTGCTAAGTGACGCGGGCAGTCGTCACGCTTAGAACAATTTCGTGTAATGGGCGTCTTCCTGATTTCGAATGCCGTAACGCGGATATATACCTGTAAGACTCTTTTCGAGACGTTGCTTTTCTCGGCTCCCTTCATTGTCGTCACCGCCGCGGCGGTGACGCCGCGAAAGAGCGACAGTTCACCCTGGCAGCTTCATTTCGTGGAAATCGCGAGCGAACACGCGAGATCCGTGTATGGATTAATTCGGCGGCCGCAGGGATTGAGACCGCGATGACATTTAAACGAGCGCCAAAGTGCTTCGACGCACGAGAGATTTATCCAATTATTTACACTCACTTTAATTTGCCGTTTCTCAAGACCTTTCGCTAGAATTAGTATTTATTAATAGTATCAACGTTTATTAAAGTGTTAACCCAGCAAACATGTAATGGTGTGTTAAACGCAAGGTAACATAAAATTGTGCCGTTTTTATACGAACTTTAATTTACTAACTGCATTTGACAAACGTTTAATACATGTTTATTGGCAATTACGAGGAGCGCAATGACGTGGAATAGCAATTACGAGTCGACACATCCCGCTTAGCAGGATGCAAATAAGGAAAATTACACAAATTTGTGCGCATTTAGCTTGGCGTATGCTGAAGTGATGGACAGAACGGTTGCAACAGTATTTTTCTTAAGTGAGTTTAGGAACGCGTATTTAGATTCGGAGTTACGTTTCGAAGCATTTTCACCGAGGAAACTTTCATTCGAGAAATAGGCTCGGAAACCCACGAAATGGTTTCGGAATGTGGCCATCGAGTGAAATATTCCTCGGAGAAGTAGATTTTGGAACGTAACTCGGAATCTAAGATTCGGACGTATGTTTCAGAACATTTTCCCCGAGGAGAATTTTACTCGAGAAGTAGGCTCGAAAACGCTCGAAATGGTTTCGGAATGGCCATCGAGTAAAATGTTCCTCGGAGAAGAAGATTTCGCAACGAAACTCCGAATTTAAATGCACCTGCTTAAACTCATTAAAAAAAAAGTGTCGCAACTATTCTGTCCATTACTGTACAGTGATGAACGAAATGATTGCGACACCGTTTTAAATAAGTTTAGGAACGTGCATTTAGATTTACGTTTCAAAATATTTCCTCCGAGGAAACTTTTGCTCGAGGAATTGACTTGGAAACCCTCGAAATGGAAATCGAGTGAAATATTCCTCGGAGAAGAAGATTTTGGAACGTAACTCGGAATCTAAGATTTGGACGTACGTTTCGAAACATTTCACTCGAGAAATAGACTCGGAGACGCTCGAAATGGTTTCGGAATGGGCATCGAGTAAAATATTCCTCAGAGAAGATTTCGCAACGGAACTCCGAATCTAAATATGCGTTTTTAAACTCATTAGAAAAAGTGTTGCAACCATTCTGTCAATCACTATACAGTGATGAACGAAATGATTGCGACACTTGTTTTAGTAAGTTTAGGAACGTGCACTTAGATTCGGATTTAGGTTTCAAAGCATTTTCCCCGAGAAAAATTTTACTCGAGAAATAGACTTAGAAACCCTCGAAGTGGTTTCGCAATGGGCACCGAGTAAAGTATTCCTCGGAGAAGAGGATTGTGCAACGGAACTCCGAATCTAAATGCACGTTCCTAAACTCTTAAAAAAATCCTGTTGCAACCATTCTGTCCATCAATGTATGTACGCGGTAAAACGCGATAGCAAAATATAGGGAAGACGAACAATTTACACGCGTTAGTGAAGATTGACAAGCGAATGGCGTTATCTCCAGATTGTACCGTAAAATGTTTCGCGATAATGTTATATTGAAATTTCACATCTTCTCCAACGGATCCGAACGTAATGTAAAATACACCAGTGGACAAGCGCGCGCAAAGTGACACGCTTATCTATACGCAAGCTCCGCCAACGCGATCCGAGCGTGGCTATGTAATTTCGCGATGTAATTTCAGATCTTTGCTCGTCGGAGACACGCGGTGAAAGTCCGCGACTGCCACGTTATAAAGTTGCATTTTCGTTGTAATCCTGCGCGCAGGAGCGCGCCGCATCGGGGATACCGCGTCGAGGTGCGCGCGACGAATTTCAATGCGGGATGAATTACGGAATCCGTAACTTCTCACATTACGTGCCGATCGTGTAAACATGCCGCTGCAGTTTCACGACGAGGACGCGCCCGGGATGCACGCGCGTGCATTTCGAAATGACTAATTGTCAGATATATCTTCGACAGCCCGTGCACCCCGCTAGTAAGTGCCTTCTCTCTCCATTTTTTTTTCTTTGCAAAATCGTTTTACGTAATACTAACGTTTGCGTTTGACCTTCGCAGTTGGTTGGCATTACTTGACATTACTACAGGAAGCAATTGTCGGTCTAATTGCAGGCGATGTAATCGGGAAAATCGTTTGTAATTGAACAGAAAACCGTTGCGCTTGGGTGAATCTGCAAAATATCTCCGCGGCCATATAACAGCTACGAAACTTCACGATAATGGCCTCGTAAAATTCGATTTACTACCGCGAGTCAACAGCGTATAAAGCCAACGGCACACGGCTATTTCCCCTATTGGATTGCTCACGAGAGCCAATCAGGGTTTAGCCTTAAGTCACCTGATCGCTTACTCTGCATCCTGATTGGCTCCCGCAAGCAATCCAGTAAGAAGAATAGCTTCGCGTGCAGTTGGCTTAAGCCCGTATCAGACTACGGATTGGGATTGGGATTAGATTGAAATTTGACCAATCACAGTAAAGTTTACTAATCTCAACTTTAGTAACTTTTACTTTAATTGGTCAAATTTCAATCCGATCTCAACCTCAATCCGTAGTCTGATACGGGCTTTAAGTTACAAATCCGCGCTTCAGCGTGCAGTAATTGTAATTAAAAGCGCGAACAAATGCTCGGAAAGAATCATATCTTGCATGCAATCTTGCGTGCAAATCTTGAAAGTCCTCCTTATATCCGTTTTTTACCTACGCGGTTTATCTTTAATCTCGGCTCAATTTAAGCCAACACGATAGTATTTTTTCCCACTGGGTTGCTTCCGAGAACCAGCAAGGATGCAGAGTTTTAAGCCAACGGCACACGATACTATTTTTCCTACTGGATTGCTTACGAGAGCCAATCAGGACGCAGAGTTTTCGATCAGGTGACTCAAAGCTGAATCCTGGTTGGCTCTCGTAAGCAATCCAGTAGGAAAAATAGTATCGTGTGCCTTGGCTTTAGATTAGGTGACTTAAGGCTACACCCTGATGGGCTCTCGTAAGCAACCCGGTAAGAAAACTAGTATCGCGTGCCGTCGGCTTTACTTGACACCTTTTTCTAGTTTTACGAATTGGGGAAAAGATAACAAGTAATTTAAACCGGGATTAAAGTTAACCTGCAATGGTAGAGACGGACGTAAAGCCCGTATCGGACTACGGATTGAGATTGGGATTAGATTGAAATTTGACCAATTAGAGTGAAAGTTACTAAACTTGAGATTAGTAAGCTTTACTGCGATTGGTCAAATTTCAATCTAATCCCAATCTCAATCCGTAGTCTGATAAAAGCGCAAGGGGGACTTTCGAGATTTGCGCGTTTGATTCTCTCCATTAAACACACGAGCGAGCTGAAGCTTGACTTGACGTGGTAGTTAACGAACCCTGAACAAACATTCGATAACGATCGCCACAATGGCAATCTCGTCGCGAGATTTTTTTTCTAAGAACTGACATTTTGTGGGGACGCGCATTGTGCAAAAGTCCATTCTTATGCGCGTCAAAGCGAAGAGAGAATCGCTGACACGTTCAACGAATAAATACTAGACATATATGAAACTTAGTAGCTAGAGTCTCTCTCGCTTATAGATCGGAGGATCATTTAATGCCGGGGTCAGGTCAAACTTTTTTTTTCTTATCGCACACGTCGATTGATCCATCATGCCTGTTTCTTAGCCGAGACAGGGACGGCGATTACGCAACAGTGCCGAGCGGCATCATCAAGTCTGTTTCTTTCGCAGGCGAAATGGCGGTTCTCTATCTTTACATGCGGTACCGGTACAACTGGAACGAAGTGACGTTCAGCATGTTCTCCACGTTTGGCATGGTAACTAATCTGATCGGTAAGAAAATCACCTCAGAACGTCGCGCGTTAACAATGCGCTCGCGCGCGCGCGCGCGAGGGGGAGAGAGAGAGAGAGAGAGAGAGAGAGAGAGAGAGAGAGAGAGAGAGAGAGAGAGAGAGAGAGGGAGAGAAAAAGAGAAATTCACGCGAGCGCTCGTAAAAGCTTCTGCGGTCGAAAATCTCTTCCGGTTCATTCATCGATCTCGCCCGCTAATTTTGAAATAGACATGTGCGTTCCGCCACGCGCGGAAACGCGGACGCGGCGTACAAAGAGTCGGAGCGGATAATCTCCTCCGATTGCCGTTTCGCGCAAATCGAAGGTATCCGTTAGTTCTATTCTTGTAACGATGCTGTGCATGCGTCGGGGTAATCAAGGCTTTTTTCGCGTCCATGGCTCGATGAAAGCAAACGGGAGACGTAACTTACGTAAGAATGAATATCGTTGCTAAGCGGAATCGCCGACTATCGCTTTTATTCCCAGCGAATTGTGGAAGGCAGGGATTGCCTTGAATATGCAATCGCTTGTCGCAGCCGGCACAAATTAAAGGACATTAAGAACATTTTGCAATAGAAAGGCAAATCGCGTGCGTGCAAGATAAAAATTGTCAGAATTCCCAGCTGCCTCGCGAACATGCTACTTTAGCGTTCGCCGTACTCGAGCACCGCATCGCTTGTTCCCGTTTGACTTTCTACTTAACGAAAGCTTTCTACTTGTCGCTGTGGATCGTGCGAATTTTGCAAAACGCGCAATCCGGCTTCTCTCGCGATTTACCTTCGACTTAACGTGTCATCCGAAGGATCTTAAAGTCCATATCAGACTGCGGATTAAGGTTGAGATTAGATTGAAATTTTACCAATTAGGGTAAAAGTCGCTAAACTTGAAATTAGTAAACTTTATGGTTGGTCAAATTTCAATCTAATCTCAATCTCAATCCGTAGTTTAATACGGGCTTAAGGCCCAATCAGACTAAGAATTGTCGACGCGGATTGTATTGGGATTGGCGACTGACTATTGTCTTCTAGCCAATGAGCAAAGCAGCCAGCGATTTAATAGACTCTCATTGACCAGAGGACAATCGTCGATCGCCGTTTTGGCGAATTGCTAGTTCAAGATTGGATTAAAAATTTGGCCAACCACAAAGTTTACTAATCTCGAGTCCAGGACCTTTTACTCTAATTGGTCAAATTTCACTCTAATCTCAATCTCAATCCGTAGTCTGATACGGGCTTTACGGCGCGCGTCCGTCCACTGATCTCTCAGGAGCGTTATTCGTGCGATCGTCCGGTGATTCGCCTCGCATGAAGAAGTGAAAGATGTTTTTCTTTGCCCTCTGATACGCAGGTACCGCAATCTCCGTCGGTATCTTCAGTCACATTCTCAAGATAGACGACGCGATCGTGGGTATCATGAGCTGCACGAGTAAAATTTTAGCAAGTTTCGTTTACGCGTTCGCCAAGTCCGCCTGGATGGTCTACGTAGGTCAGTCTTTTTAAAACGGCTAACATCAGGGTAACAACTACGTATATAAAATATATATATATACATATACATATCACAATACGGCCCCGGCCGTAGACGGAGGTGTAGCTAATGACGGATTAATTGCCTGTTTCAGCCGCTATCGTGGAGATCGTGAACGGCACGTCTTTCATCGCCATGCGATCGATAGCTTCCAAGCTCGTGCCCACGGAAGAGCTCGGTAAGAGGGTGCAAATAAAAGATGGTCCTCCTTCCGCCACCGTTTCTTTTACGATCTCAAAAAAAAAAAATGAAGCAGACGCGTAGAAGCTTCGTACGTTATTGGATCAATCAAAAAATAATGCGATATAAAAAAGAGCTCGATTTATTCGTCATTCTCAAAACCAAAGAACTTTTACAGCCAGGAACTTGAAAATTTAGGATTAAGACGAGAAAAAATTGTAAAAAACGATGCAAGGTACATTTTTAATTAAAATTGCAATGTTAATTTTTTTTATTGACCATATCTGGCATTTTTAATAATAGAGAAAATTTTCTTGCGAAAAACATTACCTCAGCCTTTGAACCTGGACTTCCCTGCTCTCTAGGCGGTATTGTTAAAAATGCCAAATATGGTCAATGAAAACACCGAAGTTGTTAATTACTGCTGGCGACATGAAGAATATTCTAGTTCATTTTTTGTTCCATTTAAAAATGATCTTAAACCGCATTACTTATGAAAGATTCAAAGAACTGTACATATATATCATACGAGAATCTTGGAAGCATTCAATTCGCACGCCAGAACATTTCCTGTATACAATTACGTAGGAAAAATACTTGAGCTGCGATAACGTCCGACGCGTCATCCGACGTATATTTTTCGTGTTTATAAGAGAAAATTGCTGGATGATGCGCATATAATGCATAAAATGAACGCGCACCTTTATAATGAATTCAAATATAAAAATTATACGGCTATTATACTAATATACTTTAGCACCACTTAGGAGCGTTTTTCGAGCTTGATCTTTATCTCGGAAAGCGTCGTATGCCTCGCGGAGCCGCGTAAATCGGATAATTTGGACACCAAATTACATTTACGTGGCGATGCTGCTAATTTTTCCATCACGAACAAAGCGTAACGAGGCCTTCCTGCCCGGCTAGTGGCGAGGAAAATTCAACGTAATTTTTATTCTACGCCCGTATCTAAGACGCTAAGTTACGTAATTCCGTAGGTAAAGTGAATTCGCTGTTTGGCGTATGCGAGTCCCTGATGCCGCTCATTTACGGGCCAATGTACAGCGCGATTTACGCGGCGACCATGAATTCGTTTCCGGGGACGTTCTTCATCGCCGGCGGATGCATGACATTGCCCGCGGTGTTTGCATTCTTGTGAGTATCCGCGCGATCAAGTCTCGATTAAATCATCAAATTTACCAAACGCTGGTGATCGCGCCCTGAAACGCCCAATTCGCACGCGATGAAATTTGAATCCAGTTTGCCAGTTGCAATTGCGTAACGCACTTTTTTAACTGCTTCAGCTGGTTGTACACGGAGCACCGAAAGGACCGCATTATGAAGGAGCAGACGAAGGAACCCGAAGCTATGATGAATCATAAGAACGAGGAGGCGACAGATTATAATTTGAAGGCGTCGAACCCTCGGATCGTGGACGCACAGAAGAAGGCCGAAATGATGAATGGCATAGATAACGCGGCCTTCGAATCGGAGCAGTTGTGATCTCACGATTTACGTGATCTTTTTTTTTAATATACGGAGATACGTACGATACATTAATAATACCTCATCAAAAAGGAACGGAGGATCCGAAAGGATACCTCGGGGCCTAAATGCCGGTCACGTTGCCGGCCAAGGCGCTAGCGAATTTGCTTTACGAGGGGGATACCAAAGGCATTTTATTAGAACATACCAATCGAAACGGCATGTCGAAATTCAAGGTGCACGAAGATTCCGGCGAGCCGTCTTTCGTCACAGTTTTACGAAAGTCGAATTTGTGACTTGCGGTACATTTAGCAAAGACGACGATACGATAGTAATTTGTCAGAGGTAAAAACGCGTGAACGTTTCTCCAATGAAATGACGTCTAACGGAACTCTCGTTCTGGAGTACTTTAGCACGCGGTGAGAACGAATTAGGATTCTGAATTACGGCATTCTCTCAAATCCTACGCAACTGCTAACTGTTATCACCTTCATACTGCATCAAGGTGTAAATAAAGCACTTTATTGAGACTTCCTCTTTGCCATCCATGACTTCACTTACTGCAGCTTGTAGATCTTATTTCAAGTATTCTCAAGATGTAGAGATACTCCGAATGAAGGATAACTACCAGCTTGTTTAATATTTCTAGTTGAAAATAGTACCTAACAAGAGTTGAAAGGGTTTATGTTCTTTCTTTTTAAGATCTGACGACATATAATTAATGCAGTCACTTCAGAGAGGATATTACTCCAAGATTGCTTTTCGATAAGTACGAAAATACTGATTTGCTGCATTGAATACATTCATGTTCAATATCTTTGGAATAAAATCCTTCTTAAGATGAATCATTTATTTATATGTAAAATATATTATACACATGTAATGTACATACAATTTGTTGTAATTCCTTGCAAATCTTTCGCAGTCTTTAATTTAGTACTCGTTCAAAAGCGACGAAATCATTGACGGAAACACCGTAGTTTAACAAAGTGACGTTAAACGCGACATACAAATTTTTATTTAACAATCTATATATATCCTTTATTTCGGGTACACTAGTACAAACTGTACTTAAACGGATTACGACGACAGCGTGAAAGGAATATGCGCATCACAGATATTCATATCGCAATATTGGCTGCTCAGTTTCTTTCCTGTTTTTCCTCTCTTTCTCACCCTCTTTCGCTGCACCAAGAGCAAACCTTCGTAAGTGAAACGTGAATCCTACTTTCTTCTTAGCGCAAATTTTCTAACAAGCACGCTGACCGCGTGATAACATTGCGATTATGGGATTTTGTCGAAAAGAGCTTCGAATAGGTAATCGTTTTTTTTTTAATCAATCTTAAGTAGAGTTTGATAAGTAGCAATACAAACTTTGAGATGTAATTCATGTATGCGTATACAATACGAATCCAAAATTGGTAAAACAAATGCATTTGTTAGCGCGACAGCGTAATACACGTACAATTCTCACATCTGACATTTTGTTTCCGTAGAGCAGTTGTTAAGTTTTTACACAGATTCGTAATTTCGTGTGTGATAAATTTAAGTGCGATAATTTAATTATATATATATATATATATAATACGAATGTAAAAATCGGTTGCGTACGTTAATTTCATGGATCTGATTAAATAATAAATAAGTAACATAGCAAATTAAATTAATTGATTGTACTAAATGGTAAGAAAGATAAATCGATTGCTCTCCGTGCCTATTTTCCGACACACTCGACTTTTAGGTATTTATAACAATCTTTAACGCTTAAGCGTATTTTAGACAATCTATAATTCGCGTCAGAATTCAGGATAATCCGCTTATAATTTTATGTGCTGTGTAATGCAAAAAAAATAAACAGCTCGACATTATTTTACAATCGACGTATATTAATAAAGTTGGAAGGTATAAGCAGCAAGCTATATTTATTTTTCTATGCAATTAATAAAAACGTTACTTTGGATTCACTTTAAATAACATTATATTTAATGCTTATGTATACATATATGCGCCGTGCTAGTCGCATAAATTATACAGTTTTAACAGAACCAGCAACTTCTAATTTACTATTTATTTTTAATTTTTTTCGAGACAACCGTGATAAGCCATGTGAAATTATAAAGAGTTAAGAACGTAAATCGATCATATTGTTGCGTTTATATAACGCTGTAAATTATACAGCGATTATTTGTAAAGACTGAAACTGAGTTGTAAATATAGCAACAGTTATATAATTTATCCCGTCCTTTCTAGATCTTGCTGATAATGTGCATAGAAGTAAAAAAAAACAGTAAATAAAGTTAGAACTCATGAAATTGCAACGATGGGAATTTTTAATTTCTCTCATTTTTATCTGATCACGGATTTCTTCTATTTATCAAGAAATTTTTGTTTCTCTTGGCCGATTCGTAAGTCTATTAAACATTCTACCGATTTTGAGCAAATTTTTAAATAATTTTCCAATGGTTTCTAAGAAGTTGACGCTATTAATGCTTCGTCAATTTTCCAGAGATCGTATCAGAAATCTAGCAATCCTGTTTTACCAAATGCAATTAATTAATAAGCATATATAATAAATTATAAATAAACGATATAAAATTATCGTTAAGATGTAATGTAATTATGAACATCAAAAATATATACTTACCAGCACATGGTGGATCCTTGTTCCATCAATAATTTCCATTTTCGTTACAAAATGTAAAAAAAAATGAACTTGAGTTGCCACAATTATTACAACAGTATGCGTTAATTGACTTGACAGCAATCAGATATTCGAAGGATGGATTCAACTGATTCAACCATAAAAATATCATATGTTAATAAATATAGTTGCTGTGATAAAAAATATTCAAGATATAAAAGTATGAGAAAACAGTGGGAGGCGTAAGTTTTGTTTTATCTTCGAGGATTGGATTCGCGGACGGGGTACGCTTTGGACGATGAGAGGTGCGGAAAGAAATACTCCTCGTGCGATTCATGTTTTCAACAATTTACTCCTAGGCTCTTGTTCTGGCCAGTTGAGAATGAGACCGGCGCGCACTCGCGGTCCCCCCTTTGTTAATTACATAATACATAAAAATAATGGTATGTACAAATGTAGGGAGAAATGTTAGGCACTCAATGAACAGAACGGCGAAACTATAAATGGTAGCTTTGTCGCGCGCACCGTGCGGATGGTGTTTCCTACGGCGTGCGATTGACATCGACGAGATATGATGCGCTCGGAGAGCAGAGAGCGGGAGACAAGTTTTAGGGATACCGTGGTGCGAAAGGTAGAGCGCATTTACGCGACACGGACGCGCCAGAAAAGAAAAACCAACAGTGCGATCGGCTTCTTTCTTTCCAAATTTGGTTCGCCACTCGACTCGCGTCGAGTCCCCCCAGGATTGTCGCGGTGAAGTTGGAATGTTAACGGTCGGGCAACAAGCGTGGCTTTTTTTTTCTTACGTGGAATGTGCTCCGCGCGAAGTCTCACGATTATCTTTATTTTTTTCCTCTTTTTTTTCCTTTAAAAATTAAGTCGCATTATCTAAGTACCGCAGTGTTGTTATACAACGTTAATAACGCTCCTCCCCGTATCTTCACTGGCCTTCGGGTTCACTACGGTGAACGGCGTGGACACGTTCGAAAGGAACTGCTCACTATTCTGATTTTATGCGTATCGGCGCGCGTTATCTGTTTTTTTTCCCCTCTCTTCCCGTATAGTCTGGGCACGTCTGTAGACTAGAGTTCCCGTGTCGTTATAACGTTGGTTTGAATCAAAACGCAAAACGCAACTGGCGTAAAACGTCCTACCGTTACTCTCAATCTTTTCCCTCCTCGTGTCCGGACACGTAACCGGTGCTCGTGTACCTTACTATTATTACGATTCGATTCCAATCGATCAAATCCGTTTCACCACACGCGCTACTATGCTAAACGTAAAAATAAGGACGTAGTCGCTGTTGTATGCAAGCGGTTCCTTGACACTGCCAGTCCGATATAGTCGATGCCACCTTTCCACCTCATACAATTATCCTCTCGCTTTATCAATCGGTCGACATACAAACTGCGTGATATATATCATTGTTTTTCTTCCCCAAGTACTCGACGTTAAAGTCCACATTACGCAGAATAAAATAAGTTACACGATTTGTCTATTTTTTTCTCATTAAAATATGATACAAATTACAATTATTTATGCTTGGAGTGTAAGAGCCGTTAGTTGTGAAACTAGAAAGCCTTCGTCCTTTTATTCGCGGTCGTAAAAACTGTCTTTCCACGGATGGGATACAATTCGATTTGTACAATTAGAGCTTTATACATATCCTTGTAAGGTACGCTTGATATGACTCCGCGTTCGTGATTAAAGATCAGCACACTCGTCGAACGATGAATGCGAAAAATAATATCTATTAGTGCGGTAACGTGTTCAAGCCGGACGCGATCGCTGCCTTCTGTGGGCGAGCCGAGAGCCGAGGGTTCCCGCTATCCCCGCACGATCCGATCGTCGACGGCAAAAAAGGGGGCGCGTTATACTATGTAATAAAGTACGCAAAAACAATACGAAGGATCGCTGTACATTTGGTCACTCAAGAGTTTGTCCTTAACCATTACTTATCTAAGTGTTTAGCAGTGCGCGTTACACGCTAACGGCCCTTAACCCGCTGATAATATCACAGATGAATGAGTTTCCGTGTTGTGCGTTACGCAACGCTATCTAAGGTTCCTAACAAGTGCGTTGATCCTCTCGATTTTGTCGCTGAGCATTCGCCTCTCGGAATCAAGTGCTGATCTGGCGGACAGAAGCTCGTAGAGCTTCCGCTCTAACTGAGCAGTCTCGGAGCGCAAGTTATTGGTCTGTGTTATCAATTTTGATGTTTCGCTTGTCAGAATCTTCCTCTCCAATGTCTTTTCTGTGAATGACAGGAAACGCATTATTACATTGTATTGCATATCGTATATCATTATACGTAATAGAAAGCTCACCCTTCAAATACTCGCTGTAGGCGAACATAACGTCCACGATTCCAGTCCACCTTGGCTTTTCTCTTTTCTCACTCATTTCGTCGGGGCCCTCGCTGATGTCTATAGTTTTACAGTGTTGCTTCACGCCATTCTCACCAGGCATAGGTAAAGTGGGATAGTACATCGAAACTATATTCGGAACCAAGGGTGGCAGCGGTGGTGGTCGCTCCGGAATATGTTTCACTTTAACTCTGTCCAGAAGACGCATTTTTTGAGGTGGTTTTGGTAAAGCTGGAGGATTCCTAGAATAAACTTTGGCGATTCTTTCACAGTAGGCAGTAACGGAGTTTGCGCTTTTCCGTTTCTTGCGATCTGCCAGAACGTATTGCCATGTCACTTCTGCCTCTGCAATCACAAATTGCAATTGAAATAACTGTCTCATTTAGCATGTAATTTTTTGTATAATTACAAATATTACATAAACGCGATTAATTAAATATATTTACCGTCTCTCTTATTCGGAGGCATAATATCGAGACCTATGGTTCTGAGAAAGCCAACTTTTGGCTCGAAATCTGGCGTGTGAAGCAAAACGTCCGGATGCTCACGCGGAACCGGTAAGATGGATTCTATTACAGGATCTACTTCCAGAGGTAGTTCTGGTGGGTCAGGATTCAATCTGTATCTTTTTTCCACCTTACACAATTCTATCTCTGCAAAAGTAACGACAACGTAATCAACTCGGTAAAATCAACATAAAGAAACGCGACAATAACACGTGATTTTCTTACCGTTCCTAATGGTCAGTGTAGTCAGTCCGAACATGGCTAGGAAGGCCAATTTGTCTTCCGAATATTGTAGCTTAGCCGGCGGACCTTTCGTGATCCAAAGATCCACGTCTTTGGCTTCCTCCTCGCCCTCCGAGTCAGAGCTACACGAGACGCCCGTGTTCCTTTCCCTCCTACGCTTACGCCTCTTCTCGGCCAGATCGAGGGACGACGTTAGTTCCTTCTTCATCATCTCAGGCATCAGGAAGGACTTTTCGCTGCTGGTGACCTCCTGCTTGCTCAGGGCTTTGCTGAGGTCAGGCACATTTAGTACCGCTGGTTCGCACTTCACGGAAATCTCAGTCAAATTATTGCACTTGTCGGTAAAGCAAAACGCGGTCGTCTTTAGCTCGTTGCTGCTCGTCGAGAAGTTGAGGAGCTTCTCCTGATACTTCGGGATTTGCAAGAGCACATTGGAGACGTTCTGACAAGTGCGCAACACCTCCTCAGACTTGATACTCTGCATCAGCTGCGTCGTGTCCATCGGCTTCTGCGCGATGTCGCTTATGCTAAACTTAAAGCTCGGTTGAAACGGTAATGTGGACAAGACGTTGTTCTGATCGCATTGCAAAGCACAATCGACCTCGTTCTTGCACTCCTTTTCGCCGAGGTTATAATTTACCGGATGAGGGGGCTTCAAATTCTTTCCCTGCTGTTCATAAGGCAGATGCGGGACCGCGGTTTTTTCCTGGAGCGAATTCGCCGCGACATGATTCTGACTTGGCAACTGCGGTTGCCTGATTACATTCTCGCTCACGCGCTCGCTCTTTTCGCTGCACGCGTTCAGCTTGTTGTCTTTCACCGCGACGTCCGAGTTGCTTTTATGATGCGCGTTTGTATGATTTGCAATTTTACCACCGCCACTGACTTGAGTGTTAGCGCTGAAACCGCTGTTGATCATCGTCTTCTCGCTGGAGACGCAATTAGTCGCGCTATCATTTCGCGAGGTCAACGTGGTTGCCGTCTGATGAGGCTCGCCGACGTGATGCGCGTTCTGCTGCTTCGCGATACTCGTCGAATTAGTCGAATTAGTGATGCTCGCGCCGCCGCTGCCGCTGTGACTGCTGTTGCTGGCGTTTATCGTTGGTACGTTGAGCTTGGCTTGAGAATGATGCTGCTGATGCGGCGACGACGACGACGACGACGACGACGACGTCGAGAAGTGTGGCGGTTTGTAGAGACTTGGCACGTGCGAAACGGGTATGTGTGGATGATGGTACTGCTGAGGTGGTGGATAGGGAATCGGTTGGGAGAGCGCTTGCTGGCTGCTCATGGACTTGTTGTCCATCGAGGAATTCTCCTGCATCACTTGACTACCCACGGTTTGCGAAGCAATCGGCGCCATCGACGAAGTCTTCAAGGATGACGGCTCGTGATGGCCGATCTGATTGACTATACTGTGATTGTGACTGTTCATTATCGGTTGTCTCTGTTGCGCCTTTGTCGAGGAAGAGCGGAACGAGTCCTCGAAGGGCCTGACGAAAGCCGGCTGCGACGTTGTCGTGGTGCCCGTTGTGGTAGTCATGGCCGCCGTCGTGGGCAACGCGCTCCCTGCTGTCGTCGTAGTCGTCGGCGGCTCCTTGCTTCTAGATACATGAACACTGTGGGACAACGGCGGGGACTTGTGGGCCATGTGATTCATGGAGTTCAACGTCAACGAAGAACTGCTGGGCGGCGTTAGCGCCGCGTGCGTAGTCATTGCACCGGAGAGAGAACTCGTAGTCGTCGCACCGCTCGTACTGTTCGCGCGTGGTTGATGTTGCTGCTGCTGTTGCGACGAGAGCTGTTGATGCTGTTGCTGCTGTTGATGGTAAATGGAACTGGTGACCGTGGTAGTCGCGCTGCTCATTATCGTGGCTGTGTGCTGACTAGAATGAATGGTACTCGACGGCACGGGGGGCAAGTGAAGAGAGGGAATAGAGATGATAGGCGGGAGGGGCATGCCTAGGGACAGCGGGGGTGGAGGCGGTGGTCCTATGACACCAGGTGTCAAGGACGGTATGGAAGGTATCGGCGGTGGACAGATCGGCGCCGTGCTTATAGCCACCGGCGGCGGCGGTCCAAGATTCAAAGGGGGCATAGTGGAACCCAAAGGGGGCGGAATGGGCGCAGAGCTGGCGGAGCATATCGAAGTGGAACCTAGGGTCGGTCCGATGGGTGCGGCTGGAGTGGGGAAAGGTGGCAGACGAGGATGATAGATGGTGACTGCCGCCGCTGCCGCTGCTACTGCTGCCGGATCGGAAGGCGGTGGTGGTGGCGGTGGTGGTGGTACAGCTGGTGGAGCGGAGGACTGTTGCTCCTCTTTCCGGGATTGGTGGTGACTGCTACCGACAGTAACCGCGGGTCCACTGATATTGCTGCTGGAGTTACCGGCGTTGCTGGTGCTATTCCCACAGGTGTTACCGGCGTTGCTGGCATTGCCGCTGCTGTTACCACCACCACCACTGCTACCGCTCTGTCGTTCTCTACCGTCGCGTTCTCGGTCCCGGTCGCTATGCATCTGAGCCGCTATGGTCGGCTTCCTAGCTGGAACAAATCCCGAACACAGTGCTTGGTGATCTTCCACTCTACAATGAAAGAAATCTTGGCCACGGCGATACGTTGTTATCTTCCTTGTTAGTGCTTTTAAACATGCTTCGTACGAGTTCTATTGTCACTTACGAAATAATTGTGAGGTTTGAAATGGGACCAGAGAGAAAATTATATTTCGTGAAATGCTTTTCTTCCTTCTTAGGAATAAAGAAAATGCAACATATCGCTATAGCCAGATTCCGCAATTTCTTATAAACAAGCCAAAACTCTCAATATCTTGAGCGTGTCTAATACAAAATGTAGTTGCCTTTATCACAATGTGGTTTAAATGTTTTATTATACTTTGAGACAAGCTTTTACGATAAGCTCGCGCGCGAGGAGAAGCGTTAAGAAAATATTTCTATTTATTTTTATTGTCCCGAACTTATAAGTTTCGTAAAGTATAACGTTATACTGTGATTCACATCGACTAAATTATATCGCCTTTCAACAATAACTTCCAATTAATGGCCGCAATAAATTTGTTGTAGATTATTACGCATTAAATGATGATCGCATTAAAAACGCTTACGCAGTTAATGTACACCATGACGGTATGCAACGTGAAATTTTACGAATTTATTTCGTAATTATTAGTTTATCTATTTCAACTTACCTTTCGTTTCGCTTAATTATTCCAGCGCTATAAAAAGATCCTAAAATATATTCGCATCGAAGTATTGGGGATGATTACTGTCATATTTTCAATAAAGCTAAACGGAAAAAAAAATGGCAAACCAATTGTCTCTCTCTAAACTATCGGGGCAATCGCTATCATCGTTGCTCTTAGTATTAACAGTAGCGAGCCTACTTTTCTCATATAACAATAATTGCAGTAAAATAGATTATTAAAGTAATCGGACTACGAATTACGGAATCTTCCCCAAAACTGTTTCAGAAAATGATTCGAGGGTCAAGAATTCCAAGTCCACTAGAATTGCAATCACATTTTCTGCAAGTTTTATTTTCATTTATAGTCCAAATATACATGTTTACATAATAAATTATATATAAAAATGGTGTAATTTTGACAAAAGAACATGTATGATAAAGTTTATATACATCGGTTGATTCAGTCAGTATGAGGAGCAACATGTTTACTATACAATTAAGGGAAATGTTGACATTAATTGGTTAATTGCAAAATTTCTAAAACAGTTGCGGGAACTAACGCAAGAGTGCATGGCGCCTGACGAAAGAACACTTGGTATCGAAATAATTAGTCTATTAAATTGTAGCATTTACGCACCTACCTAAGTTCACGCCTTGAAATTATAAGTATCTAAGCGCGCATATGCATGTGCATCATGCGCGCCGTTTTTCTTGTCTCAACCAATACTTGTTTAACAAATCTAATTGATAAAAGAAAACTGTAATTTTACGATACCTAATAAAAGACACTAACAAATAAATGAACGCTCAAATCATAAAATATCAATAAACATACAATTTTACTTATATATCTTAACAATAATAATATATAGAGGGGAAAAAATCAAGAAACTTGATAATCAAGAAAACTGAAAATAATCTAAAACATATCGTTTATCGTATATAACAGTAGTCATCTCTCCGTTTAATATATAAGACCTCCTGGGCATCATCGCTGATCGCAGGAAGTCTTAATTTTTTTTTTTAATCATAAGCATCCTCGAAACTCAACGTCAAAATTCAACAAATCCTTTCCTTTAGAAGACGTGCACTCTTATGTTTAAGTTTCGCTGTTTATTAACTACAAAAACGATTAACTACATAACCAACCTGCCGTCGTACAGTAAGTAGTTTCACATTCGAGTAAACCTTACGAAAAAAAAAAACGATTTGGAACACGTATGCGAAGAACGTCGTGTACACAACAGGCGAATGGCCGACCGAAGGCCGACTTACTGTTAACATGACATTAACAAAAAGCGACAGCAGAGGATAAGTCTGACTTCGGTCCGTAAATAGGTAAATGGAAAAAAAAACAGCTAAATCGGGTCTCGGAAAAATTTCATTGCGTTCGTAATTTCGTATCTCATTGTCAGATCGAAACTAGGATGGCTAATATTTTGTTTCTTCGCCGCCAAGCCCACTTTTGACAATTCGGTGTCGAGCTGAGGGGCGATATTGTTAAGATGGGTATATACTGGGCGAACGAACAAACGGAAGGACGCGCGAAATCGAGTTACTTTGAACCACCTTTGCGAGCGGGTAAGGACTGTAAACGCCAGCGACAGTACATACCTAAGGTTCGCAGGGCGCTACACTCTCGCTTGACATTCGTTCGTTCGCGGCGTATACCTTTACCCACCTTTAGGCCCCGTTCCGGCACGAAATCGCGTGCTTACCTAAAAGATATCGACGCTACCTGCGTAAGAAACGAGAGTATAACTATGACTATAACTTTCATTAAATCTAGATTAAAATTAAAAGCGTAGTATGTTGTTTGTTCCGCGCGTTTGTCTGTTTTCTTTTGCTTTCCGACTTCTCACCGGGTTCACAGTCATATTTCTACACAACGGCTTCTCCTCGCTCGCGCCGCCAGTCCGTCTATCTACAGAACTCGCAATACAGGTCATTCGAGCGCCGAGAACGACGATCGCCGCTGAGAGTACGACCTCGCTTGTCGAGTTCGGCCTCGGAGGGGAGGACGGGGGGGGATTAAAACTAAACAAGACAACTTGCGCGGGGCTCGAACGAGCGATTTTATATTGAATATTGCAGATTCTGGCACCACTTCGAGAAGATGCTAACTAGATCATTCAACTGGATATGGCCGTATGGAAAAAAAAAATAGATATATATACGCGAAGATGACAATTCGTGCGGCGTGTTACGCCGCAGGAAATTTCGTGATTGAAAAAAAAAGGGGAAGAAAGGAGAGATAGAACGAGCTCGCGCGCCTTAACGAGTGATCGCACGATGGATCACGATCGCGCCTCGCGATCGACGCTTTCTTTCTTTACTTTTTTTTTTTTAATGAAAGGCAGTGGGGGGTGGAGCGACTCGCTCACCTGCAGTATCGGCGGATGCAGGGGCAGGCGCGGGTACCGGGGCGGCGGGAGCAGAACTTCTCGCTATTCTTCTCCTTTCCTCCTCCTCCCGCAACGCAGCCTGCTCCCGTGCTTGCCGTAGCCTATGTTCCTCCTCCAGCTTCAATCTGAAAAAAAGAAGAGAGAGCACCGCACCGCGGCGTTAATGAAGAAGTTCGGCATTCCCGACCGCTCGCTTAACGATTCTTCTTCCTTCTCTCTATCTCTCTCTCTCTCTCTATCTCTTCTCTCTCGCTCTTTCCGAGTCTTTTTGCTTACCGTTCGTGCATCACGGGAGACATGATGCCCAGGGAGGCGGGCGGCGGAGGAAGCATGTCGGGACTGTATCTCAGCCCGTACAGAGGATACGATGGCAGTCCCGGGAACAACGGCGGTCTTATCATTCCACATCGCTCCAAGTACAACTGTTCCTCTAATCTGCAACGGGAGCGCAAAACGGAAAATCAGTTGGAGCACTGGCCGACGCTTCGGCGGGTAAGGCCCTAGTGATTGATAATGAAGTCTCCTTTCCTACAATGTCAGAAACTGTTAAAGCGACGTCGGTGCCTACCTATAAGCGTGCGGCAGGTGCGGCGGTGGATAGAGACCGGGATGATAGGCGCTATAGGTCGCGGGGTCCAAGGCGAATGCCGGTGGATGGGCCGGATGGTGCTCGGGCCGGTACGGCTGAAAACCGGAACGAGCCAGCAATTCGGTAGCCGCGGCAGTTACGCTGTGTTTGCTGGTTTCAACGGGTCTGGCAGTTGTGTACAAGGAGGGAATTTCTTCAGGTCTTCGTTCGTGCGTCGATCGCTCCTGGAAAAAGAAATTTAACGACACTCGCTTAGAGTCCACGCCAGGCAGGGCGCACGCGATTCTCTTCTCCTCTTCTTGCGGCAATTGTGTAATCGATAACACTGGATAACGCGCCTTTCTCGATATGTCTGAACGATTCATACGCGTCGCGGTTAATCTTGAAATTGATAAGCGACACGTCGCAACTCGGTCGAGTCGCGGAGCCGAAGGAGAAATGTGCGAGCACTGCGATTCGTGGGAAGAAAAAATGTGGTGCGAGGCACGGTCCTGTTCCGAGAGTTAATAATATTTCCAAGACGATTTCCTGGAAGGCGCTAGACGAAGACGCAAATTGCCTGAAATTTTCTTCAGCTTATAGTCTCTTCCGCCACTTAGACGTTACGAGCGGTCTCGCAGTTTATTGCCGGGCGTTGTAACGAAGTCGTGCACCGAACCGGCAATGAATTGCCGCTCGGATGACTTCGTCATGGAAATTGGTAGGAACAACGCGTACCTCCGGTCGACCCAAGGCAACAAAACGAAGAATTTGCCATTATAGACAAATGTTAAGTGACGCGAGGTGGGACCGACCGGCTCGGGCGAGATTTCTAGTCTCCGGCGGCATCGACCGATTATTTTCAAAATCTTATCCCCGTTTTTACCCGAAAGAAAGGTTTTACGCCGGCGACGCGCTGTACAGGAAATTTGCACTTTTCCGCTTACATCGTAAACAAGACCACGTTAAAAAGGAAGAAACGCCTCAGTTCGAATTACTTGACCCAGATTGTCAAGCGGGAGAGCACAGGCTAGGAAAAGTCTCACATTTGCAATGCAACAGCGCGATATACAATCGCGGTAGGAAAAGGATCTTTGATCTCGGCGATTATCGGGGAAACTGGAGCCACCTTATTCCCTTTCCGCCCGAGTAACCACCTTTTTCATTTCGTTACCGAGATTGGTTGCGTTTTCGATCTACTTCCGAGCCTTTGACACGCCGCAATCTTGCGCAGCCGTTTACGATTCGCACGCCTCCGAAAATCACTTCCTCTCTTCCTGCCGCGCCATTTGGCAGCGGTAATCTTCTCCCGCTTCGACACTTTCGCCTTTGATGACGAGACGTTAATTTCCGGTAGCAATTACTCTCGAAGAATAGCCCGAGATGAGCCGCGGTATCACGCGCGGGATGTCCCAGAGTTCGCACGCTTTCTCTTAATTGCCGGCTCTCCGGCGCAAAAATCGGATGAAAAGTCATCTGCTACAATCTTTTAATTCCCAACGTACTTTCAGGTCGCTAAGCCGAGATAATTCCCGCCTCCGGTGGCACGACAAACATTTTGTAACACACGCGACTCGCGGGAGACGCGCAGCTTTGGGAATTTTTTGCGCCCGTCTAAGCCCCTCTCGGTAACAACGATGAAATAAATCGCGTCATCAGCAGAAGCAAATCCAAAAGATTCGCGAGGAGCGCAAATGTATGCACCCTCCTCTGGCCCTACGCTCTTCCAGATCCATTTACGATATTCTTCGTCGACCGTACAAAGAGGGAAAAAAGGGAAAAGGAGAAAAAAAAAGGAGAACCGCGTCGTCAACGTCGCAGAGGCGAAGGAGCCAAAGACGACCGATGTCAACGATTTTTCTCAGCCGCGCCCGCTATGTGCCTAAGCGGCCGCTTATTATTCCGATCATGGGGACCACCGAGTCTCTCCGAGGTCGAGGGTACCTTTGTTCGCGTTTCGAGACGGATGCACTTCTGTCCCGGGCGAGAGAGGGACGTAGAACGCGGCCGGTGCAATTACTCACCTTAGCAGGGGAAGGACCTCTGACCAAGGGCGGTGGCGCCCGGTTCTTCGGGCTGGCACGCGGTTCCTCTTCCTGAGGTGCCGGGCCCGCCTGCTTGGCCAGGTTCCTCAGGGCGGCGGCGAAACTCCTGCTATTCTGCTGCCCGCCCGGTCCAGGTCCCGGGGTGTGACCCTGAGGTAGTACGCCGGAACTGGGTCGGTGGGACTTGCCGATCGAGGTCGGCTGAGCTTTGGTGCTGGCGGGCTGTAGACCTGAAAAGGAGAGCGGAAGAGGTCAACGTCCGGGTCCGTGTGAAATTTACCCTGGCGCATAACTTAACTCCGGGGGATCTACGGCTGTGGATCTTGACCTCGGCGGTCAGAGGGGAGAGCGCGCCGGCGCGGGATCGCTTTTCGGATCGCAGACAAATGTCGCGCGTCCGACGTAATCGCGGATCTCTGGTTGAAACGCGGCGGCCTCTCCTCCCGCCTGGATTTTCGCGGCCGGCTCGCCGCGAATCAATCTCCGCCCGTGACGGTTCGAGGGATGCACGTGTCGCTCGGAGGATACATGTGTCACACGCCTAATTATCCCCGACGGGAATTCGATTAACCGTGCCATTTGCTCGGATCTACCTATCGACGCCGCTCCCGAGGCTCTCGCATAACGTGATGCTCGCGGTAACAGACCTTCTCGATAAGCGCGTAGGTTTCGTACGCTCGTCGTGAAAGAGGCGTTATCGAGGCGAAGATTAACGAGCGACCCCGTCGTCTCCACACACGTGCATTCTCTCCCTCCCTCTCTTTCTCCGGTGCTCCGGTAACGAGCGTGCCTCATAATTCTCCCCGCGGGATCGGAGGTCGCGCTCGTGTTGACGTGACCCGCCGGGGAGGTCGGCCGAGCATGATCGACTTCGTGGG